TTCTAACATCAGAAACTATTCCCTTTCTTTTAACTATAAGTTATATCAAAGTCGAAGTTGCTTGGATTCAACACAGATATTTTTGTAAATGAATAATCATCTGCTGTCTTGCCTAAGACATTTGAATAGCCTTAATTAACACGCATGCTCTAATGCTCTCATCAGATGTCATGATCTGTGATGACTTTTTGAAATACTAACACCTGTACAAGAAAGTTAGTGAAACACTGCACTAGCATTGCTAGCATCAGTGTTGGATTTTGTAAAAACAAACTGCCAACGACTTCAGGTCTATTCATATTAAAAACTTTCGAAATGGTTGTGATACCTTTTTTCTAAAATTTACAAAGCTTCGGGGTTCAGTTCCATGCTTTTCCTGTATATGGTAAAGCACAGACTCCTGGTTGGGGAACTGTTGCGGTTAAAGGGCCATTCAGCTGTTTCATTGAATATTTGCAGAATCACATTATGTAAAGGTATGCCAAAGCATACTTGAAATTTTTCACAAGATAATGATCCATAAGTGTTTGAACCTAAATTAAAAGTTCACCTCGTCTACATCAGCTGTGTTGTGAAAGCAGCACGTCGCTGCAGTCCTGTGTGGGTTTTTACACTGGAAACATTTAGCCACAGTGCTGCTGTTCACTCAGTGCCTTCAGCCCAATACACTAGCCACGTAGTTACACAAGAATATGCTTTGGGTGGCAATTGTGTGAGGGAAGTGTGAGTTGTTACATGACTTGTGTAGATGGTATTTGTTTGTCAGACATGCATGAGATGGAAGACTGAAAAATGCAGCAGATGCAGTCACATTATGAAGACTTTTATTATTCTTCAGCTTTGACCACATCCTTAGGCCGTAATGCACTTAGGTGAATTAGTAAGCTGCTGGTGTAGTTTACATTGTCAGTAATTGCTACAAGAGTGCAGTGATCAGTTAACCATAGTGTTAACCATAATGAGCCTGTTCACCACAGGAGGGGTTCTTTCATTTATCATTTAGTTTTTATTAGTCTATCCCAGCCTGTCTTTTATGCAGTCATCGGATTGCACTTGGTAATGTTTTAATTTGACTCTCAGAAATTGTTGGTTTTGGACTTAAATGTTGACATCTTTGCCTCTGTTTTTGGATACTGAGTCTATTGTGACAACATTTTGTCACACCAAAAATAAAAAAAAGCTAATTTCTGGGTGTTGCTAGTGTGTGATTTGACAGGTCATTTGTCTGATCCGCCAGTTGAGAGAATGGCAACTTAAAACATTTCAAGGAGAAACCTGTCAAAGGAGAAACCTGTCCATTAGGCCGGATCTTTCAACATAAAACATCAGAGGATTAAAAGAGGAGAACAAAGAAGGAATTAAACAGGTGTATTTGTGTCCAGTGTGAATTTTGGACACCACTGAATAAAAAAAACAGACTGGGCTGGCAAATGAAAGGTGGTGCAGAACATGGCAAGACAGCTCAGTTGTTGGAATTTTGTGGAGCTCAGCAATGTGAGTTGTGGGTCAGCAATGCAAGTACCTCAAAGTGGTTAATTTGTGCTGTGAAAACAGTTTTTTTTTTTTTTTTTTTTTTTTAATGGAGCAGCCTTATAAGCAAGTGTATTTCTTTTCCCATTTGTGATGTCTTCCTTTTTTCAGAGGAATCACACCTTCAGATGTTATCAGTAAGGTTGATAAACCATAGCCATAGCAAAGGTTAGCATATTGTGTGGTTTCCTGGATGGCACATTGTTTGGTCAAAGGAGGCTCAGATGCCCAGGGAGTGGGTGAGGGTGGCATCGTGGGCCCATCTGTTAGAGTTATTATTGCTCCTGCCTTGCACCGAAGGGACCTGAGCCCCTCCACACTGCCTGTTAATTACGTTTCCAGTTGTTCGGTATGTAGCTTGTGTTGCCTTGGGTGCAGTGGCTGCCTTGCTTTGATGTGGCTAGCCCTTCCTAGTCCCATAAGTAAGCTAATTAGCGAAAGAGAAACATGGTGACAGTGGTCAAAGCAGGTCGACAAGCTTGGTTTTGTTTTTTGGAAAAAACAGGGAGCAAAGAGCCTTTGCCTTTTTGAGTGGGATTTTTTTGATGATGTAAATGATAACGAGAACGTATGAGATAAAACCAAAATTTTGTTTAGTAATATTTCCGCGGGATTCTGTTCTATTTTTTTGCAGTTGCAGGATTTTTTATTTTTATTTTTTTACTACATAATAGCACCCCTTTTTCTGTTACAAAATATGAGTGGAGCATCACATGGTGGCCACACCAGTTGCAGAGGTTGTTATAATTCCAGCCCTGTAGTATGTCTGCTGTGGTACAATAAAGGTAGACTCTTTCTGAAAGAATATACCAAGGTGAAAGTGAATAATTCATGTTGAGTAACATGTTCAACCCCTCTGGCTGCATGCCCACTGGTAATTGGGACAACACCATTCTCTATTTTGCTCGGTCGCTCTTGTTGCTATGCTACCAAAGGGAAACTTGAGTGGGCCTGGACAGTGTTTGGAATGAAGGTTGGACAGCCATGCAGTCTTCATACCTGACACCATCCCCCTTTATTTCTCTTTTTATTCTCAGCAAAATGTCTGTCCCTTTATCTCCCGGTAGACGGGCAGGAAATAGTTGTATATCTTTTTTACGTCATGAGTCATTGTCAGGTTGCAGTTGGTTTCTTTTGCTTTACTTTAACTTGCTTACAGGGCCATTCTTTTGCTTATCGTATTTAGTTACACATTTGTGTTTGTTTACATTGTGTTTTTGGGTCTATAAGTAATCTCATTCCAACTCTATTTACCCTGCTCTCATAAAATTGTATGCATGAGTCACTGGAAAATGATAAAGTCTACAGTATTCTTACAGTGTTCATCAGCCTGAGGACAAATATGTGATGGAATTCAGAATGTAATTGCATTTTTGTTTCCTCAGCTCCCGTCAGTTATGAGACAGTCTCAATTGAAATGTTAACATAAGCTCTATTAAACACCCCTATTTGTTGAAAATAACTCAGAAGGGAAGGTCAGGCTGCCTGCTATGAATAATTAGCCCCTTGGTCTCATCTGTAATTCACTAGATGGGTTGTAGACTGGCATTTAATATCCTTACTGCTTTATCAGGGCTCTTTCCATCTAGATGGTTGGCCGGGTCACTAATGGGAAGCACCATTCAGTTCTCAGTGGAAGCCAAATGGATATAGACACTCCCATTAGGCCAGAGAAGAGAGGATGGGAATACTTAGATCTAGTACTATTCATGGATTCACAGGTTAAGTGACCCAGCTATTGACATTGTCATAGGAGGGAATCATGCATGTAGCAGTGGGCAAGACGAGAGTGAGCATGTACTAAGAAAGGCTGGAGGTGAGGGCTGTCCTGTGTGCGTGTGGTTGTGTGTCTATTAAAATGTATCAGCACATGACTGTGTGTCACTAAACAAAGCCCAGGACACATTTGTGCAGTGTGCAGGATTTGTATCCATTTTTATAGGAACGTGATAAAGATATCATATGTTACAGTGGCTTAAAAATATGTCACATGCAAGACTGCATAACTAAATGTTAATTTCAACCCCTAATTTTTGATTAAATTTACAGGAGTGAACCCAGCCTTCCAACATACCTCCTCCCTTTCATTGGGCTAAGATGAGTATTACCAGTGACGAAGTGAACTTCTTGGTCTACAGATACCTCCAAGAATCAGGTTTGTCTCGCTTATACAATGACAAAAACAACGACACAATGAACTGACTTTTGGCGCGACACATTAATTGCTGATATCTTTTTCCCAGCATTGCAGGGTTTTATCGTTTGTGCACACAGAGTTGTATAGAATGGCGTTATCATGCATAAACAGTTTGTAAAAACAAAACACATAATATGATATTTTTATGTTACGCATGGTCAAACATCACATGCTCACTTACAGCAAGATTTTTCTTTAGCTTATAGTGGAAGGAAATAAACAGGCACACTGCCTCTTAGACGCCAACGTGCTATTCACTCTTCAATCAATGATTTAAATTCCCGCTGCTCAGTTTTATTACTGTTTACTGAGTGTGCCTCTGAAGCCATTTGGCAGAATACAAGCTACTAGCTGCTCAGAGGTCAACACTGATATTGGCATGCCTTATCACACTCTCAAATGTCATACTTGCTACGCCATTCAGTTTTTTTTTTAGTATTCAATTACTGTTAGCTTTGTTTGGATCAGACGAGACTTTCCTTTGAATATTTGAGTTGTGTTTGTGCACATCTTGTGCTTGGCACTCTCGCGTTAATGAATGTGAATGGTGTTTTGTTTTCAGGTTTCTCTCACTCAGCATTCACCTTTGGCATCGAGAGCCACATCAGCCAGTCCAACATCAATGGAACACTAGTGCCCCCTGCAGCCCTCATCTCCATCCTGCAGAAAGGGCTTCAGTATGTGGAGGCAGAAATCAGCATCAATGAGGTGAGGGCAGAGACCTGCTTTTTTACACTCCCATAGATGTTTTCTATTGCTAATGATACAAAGACAAACTTTGATCTCTATGACAACACACCGGTTTAACTGCAAATGCTTTTCACGTTTTTGCTCATTCTTATACTGAAAGAAACACTGAATGATATTTGTCGAGGAATACCAACTAGAAATCACATTTCACCCCTATTTGATCATATCGAGAAACATGACTCCATACAAATGACTAATTAAAAATCCCTTTACCTCATGATGTGTTATTTTCCGCTGTCATCCCAACAGGATGGCACAGTCTTCGACGGTCGGCCGATCGAGTCGCTGTCGCTCATTGATGCGGTGATGCCAGATGTGGTGCAGACGCGGCAGCAGGCCTTCCGCGACAAGTTAGCCCAGCAGCAGGCGGCCGGTGCCATGGCAGCTTCAACCTCTGGAAACCAGTCTAATGCACCAAAGAATGGAGAAGCCACTGTCAATGGGGAGGAGAATGGCACTCACAACATGAGTAAGTTGAATATGAACATGGGTGTCTCAGTTATCTCACAGTAGAAACTCACATGGTCAGTATGAAGTAATTATCTGATAGAAGAAGGGTTAAAAGAAAGGGGTTAATTATGATTCAATCTCCTGTTCTGAAAGTCTCTCTTACATGTTAGTTTTTAGACTTGCAGCTTACAAGGAAGAATTCTCTATTTCTATTGATGTAAAAATGATTAAAATGTTAATAATTCTTAATCTGATTATTATTAGTCGTCACTGTGTAGTGTTTCTTTACTGACTAATTATAATGTTGACTCCAGTGAATGCCAGCACCAGTCGAAACTGAGAAACCCCAGCATTATTATATGAATCTGTATGTAGAATTTTTACACTCGGAAACAAAAATAGCCGTGTTGTTTTCACAGAATGTGATATCGTTAGCAGTTGTTTAGCTTCTTCTGAGAGTGAAACCAGAGAGGTGTAGATCAGGTGCAACTTAAGACAAGGGGGAGAGGAGTGTATGTTCGTATCAGTGTATCCCCTTGGAATTTAATTTGAAGGTGTGGATGGCAACAGGAAGAGCTGGGTGTGAGTAAAGTTTCACAGTCTGAGGATACAGGGAAACAGGGAGGTAGAAATGAAATGAAAGCTTTTCTCTATTATAAAAGCTGCATCCGTTACTGCGACTGGGTTTCTTGTTATACTGCGATAATGGTATGCATGCAAAGTAGGTCAGTTTTTCAGACTGAGATAAATAAAAATAGCACTGGCGTTTACCAGCAAAAACTTTCTCCATCCGTCTCTGTTGTTTGAAGGTAGTCTTTACTGACTTAAACATCTGGCAACAATTAATATTCATTAGAGATGAATTTATCAGCAGTTAAGTTAAAGTTAAGTTTGCTGACAAGTGTTGGTGTATGTGTGTTTGCATGTGTGTGTTGATGCATTTATAAATATGTATGTGTGTGTATCTGTCTGTGTGCGCGCCGACTCTTCTCAGATAACCACAGTGAGCCCATGGAGATGGATGTAGACGTTGCGATACCAGCCAGTAAAGCCACAGTGCTGCGAGGCCACGAGTCAGAAGTGTTCATCTGTGCCTGGAACCCTGTCAGTGATCTGCTGGCCTCAGGGTGAGTCTCTGTCTGTGCTGAAACAGATCGCTGGATGAGTCATACTATATTGTATGCACGCTTTGGCTTTTATTTTGAAAGATGAATGGCTTCATACGAACTGCAGCTGACAGCTTATATTAAACAATCTTTTGACGCCCCTCCCGCTGCGTTGGTATTCTGCTCAGCTCCGGGGACTCCACCGCCAGGATCTGGAACCTGAATGAGAATAATAACTCCAACTCCACCCAGCTGGTGTTGCGCCACTGTATCCGAGAAGGTGGCCAGGATGTCCCCAGCAACAAAGACGTCACCTCACTGGACTGGAATGTAGGTCCCCAATCATCCATCCACATCTCCACTCTTCTACTTTTACCATGTGCAGGCTGCGCAGCTGAAGACGGTAAAGTAACTGTTTTGATATCTTTCCATCCAACAGAGCGACGGGACTCTCCTGGCAACGGGCTCCTATGATGGATTTGCCAGGATATGGACAAAGGATGGTATGTCCTCCATCATTCCAGCACAGTATAGTTTCCTCGGTCATTAGGTTTATGTCATTGTTATTGTGAATAATGCAACCTCTGTGACAATTTTTTGAAGGATCTTTTCTAAAAGAAATGGATATGGCTCTTATCCACTAGGAAATCTGGCAAGCACCTTGGGGCAGCACAAAGGGCCCATATTTGCACTCAAGTGGAACAAGAAGGGGAACTCTATTCTCAGTGCTGGTGTAGATAAGGTATTTCATAAAGCTCCCCAGCATGGATTTGTGTCTTTCAGTGATAATATCATCATGTTTTTTTTTATTTTTTTTATTTACTAGTCCTAGGGCTTGAAATGATCTGTTTTGGGATCACCAGCCAGAGTGTAAATCTGTAACATATCATTTCACGGGTATCCATAAAGTACAATGCAAACAGCACCTCAATCAGTAAACGTTCTTTTCAGTATACACCCAAGAGACTGACGGAGCGAAGAGCCCTGTATATCACAGCATCATTGTAGCATGTTACCAGATCTAAAGAAAATTTAGTTTTATTAAGTTAAAAGAAACAAAACGGAATTTGTGTTAGTTTTACAGTAAATGCTACAGTAATATGAACTGCAGATATGTTTATTTTGCGAATGACTCTTTGAAAATCAAACTAGCAGAAGAAAGAAATTCAGTTTACTAATGCACACACACCAAGGTCAATGACTGTGACATTTTTTTTGTTTTTTACCCTACCCACCTATTTGGCTGGATGGCGGGTGTTAATTTCAAGCCCTGGTACTCCGTTAGAGCACATTTTAATGAACCTTTAATATGTCACATTATTTGTAATGATGCAATTGAAATGTTGCACTTGTGGTCCGAAATGCTCAATTTCATTTTTCCAGACGACAATCATTTGGGACGCGCACACAGGAGAAGCCAAGCAGCAGTTCCCTTTTCACTCAGGTAAAGCCAGTTCACAACATATATCCAGGATAATAAAAGCTTGTTATTGTCAATGATAAGTATGATGCAAAAAATGTTTCCTGCTCAATTGGGGTCCCATTGTGGCCTCATAAACCGACCTAACTCTTTAACGAATGTGGACCTTTGCGTTAAAATATTCCCCAGCCCCAGCACTGGATGTCGACTGGCAGAACAACACCACCTTTGCCTCCTGTAGCACAGACATGTGCATTCACGTATGTCGCCTTGGGAGCGACCGGCCCCTCAAGACCTTCCAGGGCCACACGGTAAACAGCTTTTTCCACGCTGCTCTTCTGACCTTATCTCCCACCATACCACGCTCGCTCCCCCGACAGTCACGCTAACGACGTTTGTGTTTTGCAGAATGAAGTTAATGCCATTAAGTGGGATCCGTCGGGGATGCTGCTTGCCTCCTGCTCAGATGACATGACGTTAAAGGTAAAACTCGTCCTCTGTCTCGGGAGGTTAAAGAGAACAGTCCGGAGTGGTGATTTGTATTCGGTCATGTTTTGCTGTTTCCGTTTCCTTCACACACAGATTTGGAGTATGAAGCAGGAGTCCTGTGTCCACGACCTCCAGGCTCACAGTAAAGAGATCTACACCATCAAGTGGAGTCCCACAGGCCCCGGCACAAACAACCCAAACTCCAACATAATGCTCGCCAGGTGGGAAATCACTCACGCATAGCTCACGTTCAGGACCATACAGAGCTACCGCACACATTGCTCACTTTTGAGAGAAAAGTCCAGGTTTGTGTGCTCAGATAAAAATTGTGTACATGCGGGTGCACTTGGGTTTTTATATATTTGGAAAGGGGACACTCGTCATAGCCTGGCATTCAGAAGAAACCATGTTCCAGGCAAAATCCCAGTGCTAGTAAATGTCAGTGGCCCACAGCCTTACACCCTGACCCAGATGTGCATGCATGTTTAAATGTTCTAGTTCAAATACCACAGGAATTTACAGCCCTCGCTGACAACCCAGCATGCCTGCCTGTAGTTCACAATGGAGACAAAACTGCCATTATTGCCACGGCTTGGATGGAGCTTCATAATCTTAAGTAAATGCCATCCTTGATCAGCATGTGTGCGGTACATTTTTAATTGACTTCACTTCTGCTCCCTGCATAATGTCATAGAGTTCGCTTTCATTTCTTGTCACCCATAAGAGATTATCTCTGCCTATTTATACATTGGTGACAATCCGTAGGTTCTTGGTTATGAAGATGTGTTAACTGAAATCAGCCTCTTTGTATCAGTGTTCGTTTTCAACAGTGTCTCAGTTTTTTGGTGGCAGGTGGCATTTTTTAAATTTTTTTATGAGAAGTTGACACATTTTTTATTTGCACTGTGTCAACGTGGGATCGTTTTGTATAGTTTTTCTTCTTGACGAAGCAGCGTTCAACAATATTTCCAAGATGTTTTATATTGGAGGTTCACATGTCAGCATTGTGAAATTGTTGAGGACCAGATATTCTGATGCCATTTTTATGGCCCTAGTGAAACTTTTTTGTTTCAGTAGATCATCTTTCATGTTAGCAAAACAGATGATTATGAATCCTTTGCACTGGTCTCATCTTATTTGTGCACTCTCTCTCTTCCCCACGCCCACAGTGCCTCTTTCGACTCGACAGTGCGACTGTGGGATGTCGAGCGAGGCGTTTGTATTCACACACTGACCAAACACCAGGAACCCGTCTACAGTGTGGCCTTCAGCCCTGATGGCAAACACCTAGCCAGCGGCTCCTTCGATAAGTGTGTCCACATTTGGAACACCACGGTGAGTTTCAGGCTGGGAATTATACGGTTACCAACAGCATAAGAGAGAAGATTTACTGTGACCACAAAATCATTAGTTAATGGAGTTGGTAATTTATTTGTCTGTCCTTTTGCTGTAGACTGGAGCCTTGGTGCACAGCTACCGGGGTACTGGTGGTATTTTCGAGGTTTGCTGGAACAGCACCGGGGACAAAGTTGGTGCCAGTGCATCAGACGGCTCGGTGAGGACTTAGCAGTAATTCCCAACAGTATCAACTTTTGTGGTTTGGTGCTTGCCAATAAAATTTTGCAAGTTGCAACATTAAGTAAAAAAATACATGTTGCTTGAAATATATTATTAATGCTACTCAATGCTTTTCCTTCCAGGTATGTGTTCTTGATCTCCGAAAATAGCTGACTTGAGACTCTGATGATGAATCCTGAAACGTGCAGCAAATTGCCTTCTTCTGACATCAGCAAACACACTCTCATTGCTCGAGAAGAGCTGTTAAGGTGGACTGAAACAAAAACCCTCACAGGAGTTAAACCAGATGACTGCAGCAGCTTCTGAGGAGCCAACACCAACTGGATTCAGTGCACCTTACAGTCTGTTGACGTGTGTTTTTATGATACACCTGTTTGAGACAATGGAAGCGGGTTAAGAGATGCCCAAGACTGGACTGAATCCAACTCCCTGGGTGCATCCGTGTTTTAAAAAAGGTTTCTAATGAGGAAGTGCTGTGATCCCTCCGGGCCACTGGTCCAGCTGTTATCAGGTTGTAAGGGTTGAAAACACAAAGATGAGTTTTACAGAAAGAGAGAAGTGTTAATGAGACACGTGTTTGGCTGTGAAAGGCAACAAATTATGAAAGAAAGGTTGTGGTTTTAGAATTCCTTTGTGCTAATGTTACTTCATGTCCAAATGAACAAACCAGTGACATGATAAAGGTAACATCAATATTGAAGCACTGGTATTGTCTGTTGACAGGGTGCTTAACTTCTCCTCAGTGGAGAATAGTTTTTTTTTTTCCAAGAGTACTTCTTGCTTTTTTTTTTTTTTTTCCGGGCTCCTCACTCTCTTCACCAGATGGACTTTTGAAAGTCAAAATTGAATGTGCCGCTACAAGGTAGTTCTTAGCTCACATTTAACATCAGGTCAACAAAAGGAAAACCTGCCAAGAAATAGTCCTAATCTCCTAAAATGACCTGCTCAATTCACTCGAGATTAGAAAATGTCATTTTGTGGACAAGATGTGAAAAGTGTGGTTTACAAAGAGAATTTTCTCCCTTTTTGGATGTAAATTTAAAGAATGTAAAGATATGTAAATTAGATTAATACACAGACTTATATACTGTGTATATATGTTTATATACAGTACTCTTTATTGCCATCCTGTAGGGGCTCATTAATGGCTAAAGCTGTCACATCTTTGCTGATAATGCGTGACGAGACCTCTTTTTAAATGAAGTGCATGTCTCACCAGCTTCTTTTAATACAGTCTTTCTCAACTCGACCAATCATATCCAGCGCATCAATTTTTTTTTTTTTTTTTTTTTTTTTCTCCAATGAATCACAAATGGCATCAAACAGGTTCGTTGAGTGACTTTGCTCTCCTCTAATGATCACGGAAGGCCATGGAAGGAAATGTGCATTTCATTACTTGCATTCAGGGAATTATCTGGTCAACAACGTGGGAGTGAACAATCATCACAGTCTCCTGATTGGTTTGCTGCTTTACAATGGTGTTATATGTGGAACAGGACGTCAGAGAATCAACAACAAAACTCTACCTGTGAGACCTACTACAGCTTGATTAGCATTACCATGGTCCTCTCTGGCACTTTCCTCTGATAAATCTACTGAAAATGCAGAGCACATTTTGACCAGTAGGTGGAGGTCAAGCAAAAGGCCCGCTGTTGGTTTAAAAAAACAAAAAAACAAAAAACAAACTATGATTGGTCTTGTTCAGTCCCACCAAATGTTGCCTGCTGATCTGATTAGGTCAGTTTTAAAATGCCTGTGTTGTGGGCTAAGCTTCAGCAGTGTGCAGTAAGTCCACCTCCCTCTGCGTACTGGGATCTAATGTAAAAGACGGTATCTAAAAATTAACATGCCATCACTGTGATTTGCCTTTTTTTTTCTGGTCCCTTTCCTTTTCAGTCAAAATTAAGCTGAAGCAACGTGAATTGCACTTTTTGTAATGGCGGGTTGCAGCAAATGTTCAGATCTTGCTGAAAGTAAAGGGCCAATTCATTTTTTTGTCTTTTTTTTCCTCTCTCTTTATTTTGAAGTCACAATTGGATGTTAATGGGTGGTTCATTGTTTATCATTTGCTGAGAGCCATTATTGTCTGTGTCAGACTGAGAATTGGGCTGTGGGTTGGTGGCCATTCTTGGCATGCTAAGGAGCCCAGTATGGAATAAGTGCTGTGACAGCTACTGTCTCTCACACCCTGGTCCAGGGTGCATTCACCTGTTTCCAAGACAAAACTTTGAAGTCATTCAGTGTCTCAAATAAATCACTCTATTTTGATATCAGAAACCACGGAGCCTTTGTCTTGAATATTTTTCTTAGCTCGGGAGTTACTATGCAGTCCTCTACAACCACTGAAAAGACATTTAAGAAAGTGTCACCAACAAAATCTTAAGAAAAATTTGGGATATTTAATATTGTATAAAATAGATGTGTGCAAAAATACAAGATGGACAGTTGGAAATACAGTAATGTAGTTTTAAAAAAAGAAACTAATTAACAAATTACATTCTGTTGTGCCTTTAGGAGTTTTACGGCAAGAGTGCATATCACAAACCCAGTGCGCATCTAATTCAGAGAACCTGCCAGGAGAAATACTTCCTCAAGCACTTAAGGCAACTTGAAAGCTCAGCCTGTGCGTTATTAATGAGAAAATGTCCTGTTTGTTCTGTTGACCGACTGCTACATACATGAGACTGGCTTTGGGACTATTTAGCTGTCCACTACGCTGCACTGCAGACAGATTTAGAAGGCTTAGAGAAAAATAAAAGGCTTGGAATCAAGAATTAGACTCATTCTGTCGTACCAACTAATGAAATCACGTGACCAGTTAATATCTGGGAGAGTCTCAAGAGGACAATAGAGGCTAAGATCAGACAAAACTAAAACAAGAGTAACTGAAAATGCAATGTCACACCGCTGAAGCAGAGGGAGGCAGTTTGTTGTTGACCCCAGCTAGTGCCTCACAGAGTTGTCCATCGATTCTCCATCAGCGTCTACATCCTCATAGTCTCGTAGCTCGCTGGAAATGTGGATTTCAACTGTACTAGACTCTGAACCTAGCAAGACAAAATAGGGGCAGATTACTGGGTGTTACTGCACATGACACCATAACAGTTTATCAAACTGTATTCATTGAGGTATTATGATATGAGGTGATATGATACCTCCATCATAACTGTGTTTATACATGTGCATATATAAATATATATATATATTTTTTCACAAATGTATTTTGGGAATTTTAAATAATATACAAGCTGCAAATGTAGTCTTTAATGAGGAGTTTTTTTGTATTGTGTTTATAATACAATAAAAAATATGATTTTGTTCTTACTTGTATTTGATGATAAACAGATTGAGGGCTATATAAATGAGTGAAAAACATAAATCCTTGAAAAGATTAACTTTATTTCTAAGGACTTATCATTTCAGAGACACTGAATGGTGACACAAAACACTGGATAGGCTTTTGTACATGATCCACATGGTGCACAAACACAACTTCAAAAAGGTAGAAAAGGGTGTAAAATGCTTCACAAAATCATCCCAAAATACATTTAATAAAACCTTATCGGGCCTCTTTCACAGCAGACATTTTGACTTATCATAGTAGGAAAAGCATGGGTTAGCACGATGCTAATATCATTAACAATGTCTTTTCTATTCAAATGTCACAGTAAGCCATGACACTGTGACAGTGAGCCAGCGTGAACAATACCAGGACCCTGAAATTGAAGCAGCTTAATGGAAATCAGCCATTATTAATTTTACTATTTACATCTGTGCTTTTCCTCCTGTGACATGTCTCTGTACTGAAAAAAAAGGGGCCTGTGTCATCACTCAGTGTTTTTAGAATGACAGAATAAATATTAATATTTTAATCCTTTAAATTAAGTTCAGTGCTCAGCATACACACATGCCACTTTATGAGGTTCATCTAACTAAAACTGATTCAGTCTAACACAACAGACCTGCAATAAATCCAGTTGAAATCCTATTCAACACCACAGCAAACTACAACTACATTTTATTGTTGTTGTATTAGACTGCATTAGCTTTAGCTAAGTGAACCCAATGTTTTGGCAAACGGGTGTATTTTATCTAGTTCATCTACATATAAAACAGCTTTGCCGTTGCTCTCTGCATATCAATAATGACACTTAAAGCTCCATGTGATAACTCGACACAATAGCGGCACCCTTAACAAAAGGTCGGAATTTGTGCTCATTATGAAGTTACCCAGTAAAAAAAAAAAAAAAAGCACGTTGTGCCACGGTGAATTAACAAACACATTCAACACTGTTTTCAGCACTTCATTATTAACACAGAATGTGTAACTTCCCTTGGAATGCAATTTCACGCGACTGTACTATTCAGAACGCCATAGATCAAAACAAGCAATTCTGCAGGGTGTTACATAACGCTACCTCAACAACAACTCTGGTTATGAAAGTATGTTATTATAAAAAAGAAAAAAAACAAAAAAAAAACAAACATACTTTATCCTGCTCAATGGATCCAAATCTGTACCATTGAAACTAATTCAATCACAGCGATGAAAACCTCTACTAACAAATCACCTTACCACCAGACAGAGGGAGCAGGTTCCTCAGTGGATGATATTATGCCATAATAGTGTCATCTATTAAGAAGGGGCAGTCCAGCCATAGCATCAGGAGACACCATGTACCAGAAACGATGCTGATGAGTTGTGTGTCAGTTTTACCAGCCCTGATATACAGGTGAGCTGCTGCTGCCACTGAAAAACCAGTTACCTTCTGAGAGAACACTGATGGCGTCGGAGGGCTGCTGTCCGTTGCTCAGCAGGTTCTTCTTGGCTTCCTGGACATGACTCTGGTAGAGCAGAGTGGTTCCCACCATGGGGTTATGGCCGCCTGCATTAGGCACTGAAGTAGAAACTGAGTCCCAGGCCAGCTCCCTCCTTCGCTCCAGGCTGAGGTCGACACTGAAGCCTGTCCAGCCGTGAAAGGCCAGGGTGTTGAGGAAAGCCTGCATGGGGTTCAGGATACCCTGAAAGAGTAAAGTAAAAAAAAAAAAAAACAACACTTTAAGGTGTTAGACATTGATCAAACTAATAATCGTTATTCTGTATGTTGATGTTTTCTAACCCACCATGATAAACCATGTGATCAGGGCTGCGTTCCTGACATTCCTGAAACTGTTGTCATTGATGTCTGTCTGCATCTCCAGGTAGAAGAGGAGGCTCTCGTTGATGATGTTGGGAACCCAGCTAAAACATCAGAGTAAAAACAACACGACTCATTAGTCTCTCTGAATAATACTTTAAAGTTTGACTCATTTCAACGGGAACAACAACAACAAAAAAAACCCATCAGCTGTAAATCACATTATTCTTTTCACCATATGTGAAGCCAACATCCAGCTCTAATCATGCTGAAAGAACACTGAAAAACAATGGTTAATTAGTTTGACCTCTGCTGAGGACAAATACATGTGGGTTTTCCTGAGCTTGTCTTGTGAGAGTTATAAACAATACAAATAATTATAAGTAATCTCTAACGAACACATTTACAAACAGTTCAAAGTGGCGAATTTACATTATATTATGGGAAAAACTATTTTTAAAGGATGAGGTCAATGGCTTTGCATGTTTGACACATACTTTACATCACAGCTAATCATTTCACAACTGCACAGCTGTGTTTTGTCATTTTAATTTTTTTCTCGCCTTACGAGCATCTATAAAAAAAATATGATATTAAAATGTATTAGCAGACCTTTTTTTTTATATAATCCATCACAGTGAACACCATGTCTGTGGCATCAATCTTGTGATAGTTACATAGTTACTTCATGAGGTAATTCACTGCTGACTTTTACCATAACACATTTTGTACCAGGGTAACAGAGTGCTTCCCAAAACGTGAAACTGTTCCTTTAAGGATGGTAACATACCAAATAAAGAACACCAGCATTATTTTAAAGAAGCGCATCTTTATCTCGCTGGCCAGCCGTCTCTCGTTTTCTGTGTAGATTCCTTGGCGTCCTTTCAGTAAAGATGTCACTAGATTGAGGGGGGAAGAAAAATCGAGAAAGTCGGTTATTTTTGCCTCTGTGTGTGCGCGCGCGCGCGCGGGGGTGTAAGGCAGTATTAGTCAGAGAGATCTGAGAGCGAGGGACTGACCTGCAGATATGGTTCGATTAAAGAAGACAGGGTTGGCTACAAGGACGAGCAGCATCGGTGCGTATGTGGTGACGTAGTGAGGGATTGCGTGCTGGAGGCCTTGCTCGCAACTACACAAAAAAATGCAACAAATTTACTGTTACTGTAAACTGTATGTTACCTTAAATATCATTAACCCAAACTCCACACATACATTCTGTGGATGTTTGGACACAGCCTTTTTCTAATAGAGCTTCAGCCTCTTGCAGGGGGGAAAGACAGCGACACAAAATATGTCAGTGATCTTTCGTTTATCTCCTCAAGAGACGAGCCAGCGGTGAGAGGTGCGTGTTGGTGAATATAAAGGAACAGCAAACAGTCTTACTCAGAGATGGATGGGTAATAGAGCATGGCCACGCCTTCCACACACAGCAGCACAGCCAGACCCCATGTAATCATGTGGTAGAGGATAATGGTGCTGATGGGGAAAGGAACAAGTCATGAGACCTGAGCTCACAACACATGCTGCAGCTCTGTATCTTTTTTTTTTTTTTTTTTTTTTTTTTTTTTTCCTGGGGTGAAAGAACAAAGAAGCATTACATCTATAAAAGACATTTACACATTTGGCTTGATGTGAGTGACGGCTCAGTGTAAGGCTTTGTGCTTCAGGTGATAATTGAGTTTTTGGTTAATGGAAGGTGCAAGGGTGATGAGCACCTGATTCCTGCAGATGTTTTCACCACGAGGAAGACGTCAACGGCATAACAAAAGGTCCACCAGAAAGAAGCGCTGAAAAATAGCTGGATCCACATCTGTAACACATAAATTGGATATAATTTGGTATGAGTAATTGTGCCTTCTTTTTGAGGATTATCTTCTGTTTATCTGTGCCTGTAACAGATTCAAAAGACGCATCGTGACAGATATTTCACAGTTGGCTGTTCACATACTTGTGTTGAGCACGGATTAAAACAAATGACCTCGGTCATCCGAGATATAATGCATGCGATGACGTGTTTGTTTTCCCACAATAGTACCTTTCCATAATCTGTCATTCATCAAATTATACTTAAACACGATATGTTGTGCGGTCGCTCAGCTCACATAAAGGCTTAAACTGAAATGTTTGATTGTTGAATGAGGTGATACATACTGCACTGCCAACGCAGAAGACCTCTGGCCAGACATCGGTGTTGTTGACCACTGAGATGTGGTCGATGATGTTCGGCAGGCCCAGCCACACTGATGACCTTATCATGATGCCTGGAAGAGTTAATAAAAAATAAAAAAAAAAAGTTCCATTACTGTAACTGTTGAGAAAATTGGACAATTCCTGCTTTGAAAGCAAACACAAACGAAGAGGAGAGGAACAAATATAAACACAAGCAGGGCTAAAAACGTTTGTCTGGGTTTAATTAACTTAAAACACATCAAACTGCTTCTTTTCAGTCTCTATTTTTAAGCACATGAATTAATTAGAGTCTGTCACGGAGTCCTTTTAATAGCAGTTTTACATCATGGAAATATGAACTGCCTCCAGGTGGGTTTTATAAGGGTGTTTCCATTTCCTACATGAAACTCTTCACTGCAGAGAGGCATGGAAAAAGAAACAGGCGCTCTCCCAGTATCTTTATGCGATGCAGACTGCGTGCTGCTGTGTATTTCACTTTAGAATCGTGTCGTGGGTGTGCTTCAAGCTGTTAAGTTTGCAGTGGTGAATGAAATCTCACCGGGCACTAAGTACACAGAAATACATGACTTCATCTGCCTTCGCTCTCACCATCCGTGAATGAACAGTTCAAATGTGACAATGGCTGTGATGTAACAGTTCGCAACAGTATGAAAACAGTCTAAAAGCCTTTTGTGCAGCAATAATTCTCTAAGAGCTGGTTGTTTTAAGAGCAATGCTGCATTCAAATCAATAAAGACCAAGAGGAAAGAAGATGGGCAGTTGTTATGAGTCATTTCATTACTCACAAGACGATGATTTATTCTTTTGTGTTATAATAAGTAAGCTGCTTCACAACTAAATATTAGAATACATCTATTTTGTGCGAACTTTGTCAACATATGCGTTGGGGATATCGCGATATACCGGAATTGATGATAACCGTGATAAATAATACATTAAATATTGATATTGTGTTAAAAACACACAAATGATATGATGTTAGGCCTTGTGGACTTTTTGGTTTACCAGTTCACCTGGTTTCCTTTTCACTATCCATTAAGTGTAATTGTTCTTTTTATACACTTTTGTAGTTACAGACTCTCTCTCCACCTCCCTACACTCAAATTTGAGTCTTATTCATTTACGATAAAAGAGATAAAACACACATAAACAAAGTTAGAGCTGAATTTGACTGACAGCCTTGTTATCATAGCAATGGTATCATTATTGAAGCTTAAGTGATGTCTCTAACTTGTAAGTCACTTTGCACAAAAGAATCAAATGAGTAAATGTAAATGTAATGCAAAAATTATTTTCAAAGTTTCTAAAAGTTTCCAGCCTTATTTTATTTTTAATTTTATTTATTTATTTATTTGTTTGTTTTACAGTTTATAAAGATGTTTCCAATAGAAAAAAAGTGGGTCCATTTTTACAACTTGATTTAAAAGCGAATGTAGGATCAATTTATACAGATATACAAATATTTCTGAATTGTCCTTTTAGCCAATTAGATTTTTCCTAGCTGTACACCCACATTGTGTTTCATGTTTTCTCTCTCTGTGAACAGAGCAGGCCAGACAGGCAGAGCAATAAAAGGGTTAAAAGCTAAATATTTTCGTGCGTAATTAGACCCAGCCACACCACGCTAAGAAAACCAACCTGATCTTTTCTCTTAAAAAACTAGGCAACATAGCAGCAGTTTGTGCTGTACCTGCGCATCCCAGTATGTCACATATACTGATGATGAACAATATCCGTGAGGAGGAAGCAGGCCTTGGTAGAGGATACTGTCCCAGTCTTCTGTAGCCCTTGCGTTTTGGCAAAATTTGTAAGATAGCAAACAGCAGGCTCAGAGCTGCGCTTCCCAGACTTAGAGCCCCGAACAGGATGGGCTGGAAGGTGACCACAAACTCTGTCGCAGCGTCTCGGTTCGGGCAGCAGAAAGTCTCCAGCCGGGGGGATGCCATCACGGACCGGAGACAGACAGACAGACAGAGAGAGAGAGAGAAAGAGGGAGAAAGAGAGAAGTGGGCTACAGTGTTAGGAGGAGTAAGAAGAAAAAGAAAAGAAAAGGAGAGGAAATGAGTCCATGACCCAACTCTCTGACAAATCACGGGGCTGAATCATCATGTGCTTCCATTTAATCCCTGCAGTTGTAGCTTAACTGTGCCACAATACAAGAGACCGACAATGGACTGTTGTGTGATAGTGATTTAGGTCTGGAGTTTGGTGAGTTCAGAAAAACATACTGTATATTTTAAATGAGCTTCAGCACAGCATCTCTGAAGAAAAAATACACTTCAATAAAAGTATAATAGATTTTGACTTGACACTTTGTTTTATCAAAGAGGGAAAATTGTCTTGATTATTGATCATTACAAACCATTAAGCTATAAGAGAACAGAACAACCTCAGATGGAAAACAGCAACCTACACTTTTACACATCATAACAACAATAGAATGATAAGAGAATATACTCTCTTTAATATGCATAATTTACTATGGCTACACAATCAATAAATCAATCAATTCATCAATCACGTAATACTGATGTGGGTCACTCTGTGAAACATCAGTGTCCCACTGGGAGTCACTCTTGACACAAACGGACTCCTCATCCACTTAAAGCTGTTACATTTAGACTTGTCGCACCAGTGTGTGACCAGCCACGCGGCTTCTGAGTAGCTTTTCGCATTACAGTACATTATGGTATTAAATACCCTGTAGTTGTGCATTAATAAAAGTGTACAAACAGGTGTAAAAGTGTGACTGTTAAACTGATTTTGAGTATGTAACCTAGAAAATATGCAGAGTATGTTCTTTGTAAAATGAGTGATTTTGATAAGGAAAGATCTTTCTCTTTGCTAAGGTCACGAAAAGGTCAAATTCTTAGGACAAAGAGCTAAAAGTAAATGCGTTGTGCCTCAACAGAAATGACAGCCCGAGGAATAAATTTGCCTCAGTCGAATTCTTAGATTCATGATAAGGAAGATGACATGCTGGTGCACTTTGCTTGCATAGGTTAGCTGAGTCCACCAGGATTTATAACCTATTACTTGAAACCCTCTCCCCTCCAGTGCAGTATGCAGCTGACGTTCACCACGGCCAGTTGCAGGAGAGGCCATGGCAGCTGCTGAATCTGCTTACTTGGCCTGAGATCTGAGAAGACTGGTGGACATTTGAAGCAGATTTATTTGGGTAACAAAGCATCAAGGGATTTCATTATTCAGTACTACAGAGAGGGTATTCATTGAGTTTGTACAATGGTATTCTAATCCATATGCACCTTCTCTGACAAGGCACAAAGTCAATTGTATAGCAAGCTTGTAGCCTGCTGCCAGGGATTAACAACTCCCCAAGGAGTGTAGTTAGAGTACTGACTTGCCGTTTGAACGTCTGCTCTCTGTTGCTGCCCTCTGCTGGTCTGCATATAATCTGATTCTAGCTCTCAGGACACAGTGGATATTACTGGTACTATACGAGAATAGCTATGTGTGAAAAGCTTCTACGGCTACACATCATTGTATCATATCTATAGTTCACAAGAGGCACTGCCACTATTCTAAATCAATAATCACCGGGGTGTATCCCCTCACATGATTGTTAGCTCCAAGTCAAGCTGGATTTATTTCATTATCAAGATACAGATGTTGTGTGGGAACTTAACTGAACGCTGTGAGGAAATTATCAGGTTGTTCCCTTCAGGGAGGTCAGAGGTCACCAGACCTGCTAGGGACTCAGTGATTTACAGAGTAGATTGTTAACATGGGTGCTCAACTCTGCCTGGCTGTCTGGCTATTAAGCCCCCGATCCACATTCTGGAGAGTCTGAACAACAAGTGGACTTTCTGGGTTTTGCAAAGCAACCTAACAAATCACTAAAAAAGTATTTAGAAAATTAAATCCCCCATTTTGCATTTATGTGCACTATATTAACATTTAGTAAATAGCTTGCAACACACTCTAATGTAGGTATAAGCAGATATTAGGACATTTTAAAGTCTTTATTAATGCACAGTATTGGTCAACAATAATAATTTTTTTATGAGTACATATCTTATATTATTACAAATGTGTTTTACTATATTCATTATTTTATACACCGGCCACCACATATGGTCCCTACAAGGTGAGTTATAGTTGGTGATAAATAGATCAATAAAGCCTGATATCTACTTATAACTACACTATAGTGTGTTAAAAACCTTTTTCTTTCTCTAAATGTTCTTATACTGTTTATAAGTGGTAACTAACGGGACTTAAGGTAAAGTGTAACAAATTTAACATTCTTCATGTAAATCTAGCCAACGGCATGAAATTGAAAAGGTCCTGCTGTGTTGTCTTAACTCAGGCACAATGAGAGGAAATATAAACAGATGTTGTAGCATTAAATGTAGGATCTCTCTTTTTTTACAGCACAGTAATAGCCTGCTATGTTTTTAAGCCAATAATACATGATGCATTTACAGTGGAGCACAACTTTACACATGCAGATGACTCATTCATTTCCCTTCATTTTATTCCACTTCAAGCAATGTCCTCCCCCAACACCCCCTATCTCTCCGGCCGGAGAGGATGGGTGTGGTACAGTCTCAAATTACACACAAATTACAGACCTGCTCAACAGGCCCTTGTGCTTCTTCCCCCTGCACCTTCATTGGTTGAGACCCAACTGCTAGAGTCAACCAGCCTGCTTCCTGCATGGCAAGTACTTTGTCTGAGAGGAAATGACATCACAACACCAAACGCACTGAAAACAGATGAGCACCAAACATGTTTCAGATGTGTTTTGACTTCGAGTTGGACGCAGTTCTGCCTCTATTCCAAATTCCTATGAAGCAAAACAACCAGGCCATAAAACAGCTTTTGGAACGACACTATGAAATATGTCTGCTGGGCACAAAGAGACGCCGCGAGACACTACATGTCAAACTGGAACTGTTGTTTTTTTCTCAAACCCTTTGATGAGTGGTGAGTAGCTGCTGGCAGCGTGAGCTCGCACTGCAGCTGGAGTATATTCACTGCTTCACACAGTCTTTCACCATGTCATTTTAATCCATATTTATGTTGTTTGAAAGTATAATACTGAGCAAAACTATTGTTTTTTTTATGTGTTTACATCTAGATGTGGAATCAGACTGGTCTCCAATTCATGATGCAGCCTTTAATGGACGTGTCCTCGCTCTGCAAAGACTCATTGCTCAGGTAAAGTTTGATGGGACTTGGTAGGATGTTATGGGGACATTACACTGCATGGATAGAAAATTATAACATGAAATTTATCCATGTATGTGTCCAAATGTTTTGCTGCCTGAAAAATCATCATATATGTGAAAAACCCAATTGATCGTTACTAAAATATGAAATATTCATCACCCAACATTTTATAGAGAGATAATATTATGTTAATGATGACAAAGGACTTGCATGTCATTTTGGAACACAACTCCACTAATGTGCATCTCCAGTATTCCTGAATCCACGTGTATTGTTCTCAGGGTACATGTGTAAATCTGAACACACTGGATCAGGTGTCTCCCCTGCATGGAGCATGTATACAGGGCCACGTGACTTGTGCCAAGCTTCTGATGGAGAATGGGGCAAATGTCAGTAAGGCATCATCATCTGGTTGTGCTTTTTTTTTTTGTTGTGAATGCAACTGAATTCAAGATAGTATGTTGTATCCTGCTCTAGTCTAGTTAGGAGGCAACCATATCAGTTATTTCTGGGTTTAACATCACACCAAGGTGAAGGTGCATTTTAGTAAGAGATTAACCAAACACATGCTGACAAGAACGCAGACACATCCTGAATGCATAATGACACATTAACAAACAGAAATGTGCAGACAGAAAGTGTGACTTGTTAAACCACCACAGTGCACTGCATGTCTGATGGTAGATCAACAGTAAATGTGGTATAAATACAATCACGGGATAGTGTTATACATATAATTATCACTTTACTGATATAAAAATACGACTATCTTCTCCCGATTTGTCCATTATTCTAGCTTTTAATTGAAGAGTTAAGAGAATTTTTGGTAGATCAACTAAAAAAATATTCTTACTTATGTCAGGTAAACAGTTCAAATGTGAATGGACAGACTCCTCTGTCAGAGGCCTGTGCCCGGGGCCATGCAACCTGCGTGTCGTTACTCCTTCAACAAGGAGCAACTCCCGTGGGGACCAGCCTATCCAGCTCTCCAATCCACAGGGCTGCAGCCGAAGGTTAGGGGTCACATTCCTCTGCATATATGTACGGATAATCTATGCTGAACCAGCTTAGTCAGTGGCTACAAAATGCACAGAGTGCCAAAACATCAGAAAAGCTCTGAGAAATATATAAGGTTTAAAAAAGAAAAGAAAGGCTAATTGTTGTAGCCTACAAAGTAAAACGATTGCATATTCTCCCCGAGATGTCAAGCGCAAGTAGATTTCAAAGCAGATCCTTTCAAGTACATCGCTTACCTTTGTGATGATTGTGGTAATTCTGTCCAGGTCACCCAGAGTGCATTGCTCCTCTTGTTCAGTATGGTGCAGATGTGGATCAGTATATCGACCAGTCAGGTTCCCCTCTCCAGGTTGCATGCTCCAATCAGCATCTGAGTACTGTGAGGAAACTGCTTCAGCTCGGTAAGAAATCCTCTCACTTTAACTTTAACCTCTTAATTAAACGTGTTGACCTTTTAGGTTGAAGAGGGAACCACATTTACTTTAAGTATAATCTCAAATTTAAATCAGACAAATTAAATAACTGTACTACAAATCAGGACAACCATGATGTTTCCAGTGATGGAAGAAGTTCTCACATCCTTTTCTTAAGTAAAAGTAATAACACCACAGTGTGCAAATACTCTTAGAAGTAAAAGTCCTGTTTTCTAAATTGTACTTAAATAAACATACAAAAAGTATGATCTCTAAAATGTACCTAAAGGGGAATTCCACTGACTTTACACATCAGAATCTGTTTATAGGTCTTGGGAGGCACCATTGATTATGTAAAAATAAAGCCCTTTGTGACACCAGATGGATGCTCAATGAAATCTAATAACTTGTCTCAAGTGGTGTCACTTAAGTCAGTTCAATGTGGGGGTGTGGAGTCAGAAAGAAGTGAGTGACATCTCTGGTTCTGCTGCATTTGCATTTCATTTACTCAAGTATTGTTCATTAGTATAATGTACTTTCTTTGTGGGAAATATTGTACTTTTTACTCCACTACATTTATTTAACAGTCATAATTTGTGGTTACTTTACAGTTAAGATTTTACATACAAAAATTAGATTTTGCTGATAATATAGGTTCTACTTATGTGACATTTTGACATTTTGCAGAATTACAACTTGTACTTGATATATAGGATCTGAGTATTTCCTCTACCACTGCAGAATCATCATACAATTAGTATTATTTGTAAATTGTTTATGGATAAATAAACGTTATGCATGTTGTGCTTTACTTAAAGTAAAATAAATCATTTATTTGAATATTCATGACCTGAGTAAATGCAGTCTAGCTAGGAAATGCCCCAATTGCTTTTATATAAGCAATGAATAGGATGTATGGTTCTCTGTGCTGTTGAAGAAGAAAAGCATTAACTGAACTGTCAGAAATGCTCTTCATCAGTTATGTAATGTGAGGATATCATACCTCATTAGTCTCTTCTCTCCTTCAGGTGCCAGTGTGAACAACAGTGTGTCAGGTGACGCGCCCCTGCACGTCGCAGCTCGTCTGTCCAGCCCAGAGTTGGTGTCTGTCCTGCTTGAGCACGGGGCCGATCGCTCCCTCAGGAACCTAGAAGGCAAACAGCCAGTGGACCTCGCACCCCCCAACAGCCTGGCGGAGAGGCTGCTGAGACAAGCAGGAGGTATTCAGTGTAAACAAACTTAACAAGTAGCCTGAGTGAAGGTTTTCATGGTCTTTACATTGGGCATTGAGCAGAAGCTAATAATCAAAGCATCTCTCTGTCATGGCTCCTACTTCTCCCCTGATGCCTGCCCCAGGAGTGTCTCCTCTAATGCAGCTGTGCCGGCTGAACATCAGGAAGACTGTGGGCAAGCAAAGGCTGGGTGGGATTCGCGACCTTCACCTCCCTACACAACTGAAAAAGTATCTTCTCTACCAATCAGACACACGGGGAGATGAAATGCACTGAAAAATTCAACCATTTCTCTTTTAGGTCAATAGGGGGCGGACTTGCATAATCTTGCAGTGAGATGACTACATCATGGTTGTGATAGTAATCAAATGTAATTCTGCTTTGTGACAGATTCTAAAGATCAGTTTGGACTTTTATATGGAGACTTGAAAGTCTTGGGGCAAGATTTGATCATTAAATATTCATAAACAGCAATACATTCATATTCAAAAAGCGAATTATGGGCTAATGTGGTCCAATAATATTATTAATTCTGGTTTGATATACGGAAATAATATTTGCAATATTACACAATTCATCTAACATTGCTTTTTTTGGTGACAAATTCAAAGTTATCATGTGAGCAGATGAACTGACAACACAGATTACTTATCTCCAAGTCATTGCAGAAGATCCTCTGATGGTAGAACACACACCATGACATGATTGATAACACGAATGTATTTTTTCACACTGTTACTATCATGATGTAGTCATACAAATGAACCACAATTTCTGTATTATTTCAAATCAAAGCCATTAGATATTATAGTCGCCTCCTTCTGGCTGGATGAGAAAGCTAGCTATCTAACAGTGGGCCTTTGTGTTTCATAGATTATCATTCATGCAGTCTCTCTGTGATTTCAAACATGGTCATACTCTTCTGAGGACTTAGTCTAGATAATCAGTAACTATGAGTCAGCATTCACTGCACACAAACCACCAGGGGGGCTTGAGCTGCTAAGAAAATCTTTTTTCTTCATTATTTTTTTCTCTTTTAGTTTGCTTTTTGTTTTAAATGTGTTTAAGTATTATTAAATACTGAAATTACAACTGTTCAGTTGTACACACTGTGAAATGTATAGCTATTGCAGTACACTGCACTGTGTATTTTGCCAACAGGTTATGTTTAAAAAGAGGCACTATATATAAATGCCTTTGTATACAGACTGTGAAGAAGCATGTTTATTGTTCACTCACTGTAAAAAAAGGAATCTAATGTTGCGTGTTTGTGGTTGTGCACAGGATGTGTTGTGATACTATGCAAATTATGTTTCCCCAGAGTCTAGAGTATATTTTTTAAAAACAAGCACAACACAAGGATCAAGCTAAACAAACAAACAAAAAAGAAAAGAAATGTAAACACTGAATATATTGGTAATAAAGAAGACAAATCACATCATATATAAAAAAAGTGACAGTATTTGCTGTATGAATTCATATGTTATAATTCAGTTATCATGAGGATTCAGTCCTGATGCTCTTCCCTTTGCCCATCTGAGAAAAGGAACTTTGCAGATGTGAAAGTGAAGAATCAGGCATTTATCAGATCCTAATTTCATTGTGGTGCCTTATTACTTCTTATAATAACCTGAGGAGAAGAGGGGCACTGCTACCAAGATGGAGCAATGACTGACACAATTTCTGACTCCCATTAATTCAGATGACAGAAACCAAAGAATAAAATTTTTTTATTTAGGTCATGTCTTCTCTCCATTGCCCAAATCTAGTATTTAGGATGTGCTGGCTGATTTCATGGTAATCATTTGTTTATCCGCTGCCTCAAGCAGGAACATGCAATTCAAAACAGATTTCTTCTTCTTCTTCTTGATTCTCTCAATACTTTGGTCCACACAAGTCCCATAAATATTGAATGTGAGCGAGGCATCATTGGTAATGTTACCTAGCGGCCTGTCAGCTGTCACCAACCTTACCCAAAACTCTTCAAGGGCTCACTGACCTCTGACCTGTGTGTTTTTCTGTGCATTCAGCCAATCAGTGGGGCGGACACAACACACAGGGAGGGAGAGCAGAAAACAGGTTCAGGGTAGATGGAAATATGACGAAGAGAGTAAAGCAGACATTTCTAGGGTATGAAGAGTATAATATGCACTTACTGATTATGGAACATATGGATCATTTTTATGTTGCTCCACAGTTAATGGAATTGAGTAATTTACCAGCTCTGTATTATAAGCATTGATTCCAATAGGACATTTAGAGAGATGATGAGAAGGGCTGTGTGGCGCCGTGGTTCACTGTGGACATAAACGTCCTATCCACGGTGACAAAAGCAACAGTTGCTCAACTCACCGACACCCCTCTTGTTAAATGCAGCGCTCATTAACTTTCCATCGATCCCCCTGTCCCAATTTGCCACTTGAACTAAATCATCGTCCCCTCAAACATCGCATGAGTGCCGGGGGCCAGCCGCACATCGAACCGGGTTTCGAATTTACTGGTGTGTAATGTTAAATCAATACTGTGGAGGAGCTTCTGACTTCAGAAGCTGTCGGGAAAGACATACAGTATGCACTGCCCATAATTAGCGACACCTACACAATCAGGTGAGACAAGTCTGTCTGGAAATGTCTGCCACATGACCGCTCAAATCATTTTCCACTTCAACCGTCATGGCATAACTGATGGCTGTGTTCTGTCTTGCTCTGTGCAGTGCAGTGTATCTGAACAACATCCTGAGTTCAGTCAGGTACTATGTGGCTCTCACATGCACTTAAAAATCAAGCCACCTATGTGTGATAGCAAAGCTTTTACTTTTATTCTCTAGAGGCTGGCACTCCATTAACCCCCATCCGGTTTTTTAGTACATAGGCACTTACTACCCAAATAGTGCAAAATGCACTTCTTACTGAGGGTTTAAGTGAAACACGCACATGAAAGTTTTACATCCAGCACACACGTTCACTTAAAACTATCCTGTTCCTTCTACAAACGGCTAATAATGGAACAGTTTTACACTCAGAGCAGAAGGAACCATATGAAGAGTTACCACTAATATAGAATGAGTTACAGAACCAGCAGTACAATGCAATCTTCAGGGAATAAACATTTTGTGGCCGCCAAAACAGCCCAATGTTTATAATCAGTGTAGGATTAGTTTACTCATTATTGCTTGAATCTTTCTAATCATCCCTCGAATGCAAGCAGCCACCACCTACTATGAACAGGCTGCAAATGTTGCTGCCAGACAACCCTTATGTGCACACATCTAATAACCAAATTGTAATCATTCCTAGTGCGGCTGGCTCATGTCCTGATTGCTCCGAGCTGGATCTTGTTATAGATATCAGTGCTTCCCACTAAGCTACAAGTGGGTTGTGCCGTGTCCTTGTACTCGCCAGTAATTGCTTTGGTATTTTTAGTTTGCAAGTGTCAGGGTAATTAAAACAAATGGAGGAGATTGTGGAGACAGAGATCTCCTGTGGCTTCTTGGTCTGAGTGTGGAGAGGTTTAGTTAGGTCATACACTGCAATGTTTTCAATTAGACACTGCCGCACTAATGAGGGTTTATTAAAGAGTGTGAATACTTATGCAAAACAGGACAACTGAGTGGCCACAACATCTACATCTCAAGATAAAGTGGGTGGCTAGATGTTGTTTCAAGTTACACAAGTTTACTCTTTTATCTGTGCTTGACTTAACTATACAAGGAGAAAAGTATTATAATGTAAAAAAAAAAAAAAAAAAGATTAGTTGAAAAAAAGTTTATTTTAGATTCTGTAGATTTATATAATGTAAAAAATTATACATCATGATCACAAAAATAACTCATCTTTACTAAATATTGTAACTTTTGCAATAAATACACATTTATTTGTCCATAATCAGTTTTTAAAAAAATGCATTAATGATTTGTTAAAAGTGTCTCTGTTATGATAACTCACAAGTGCCTGGAAAGAGACGGTACAATCTCTCCATATAATAACTCCATAACAACTCACATGTCCCTAAAGTCAGCGCTCCTCCTCTCCATGACAGCAGCCTTTAGGGAGGGCGGGGGAGGGAAGGGGAACGCACGAAGACCATCCCTCGGGTGGTTGACTGTGGCCCCGCTGAAACCGTCTGTGTCTGTGGTTGACAAATGCAGGCGGAAGGAGCTGTGGCATGTCAAGATGTCCGCTGGGCGGTGCCCAGCAGGTAGAGACACAGCAGGTTCAGCACCATGAGGACCAGCACCAACCCAATGAGAACCTTCTGCACCCACAGACACGTACTCAGCTTCTGCTCCATCCGCAAGTTGCTCGCCATCATTCGCATGAGCTGGTGGAATAAAACGGAATCACATGGTTTATTAGTGTAACACTTTTGTAATGAAAGTCCCAGAAACAAGTCAGGCTACAATAGATGTATGTAAAGGAAAATAAAGGAATAGTTCAAGATTTTGTTTGTATTTTAAGCATGAAACTAGAGCAAGGAGGCTATTAGCTTAGCTTAGCATAAAAACTGAAAGCATGGGGAAACTGCTAACCTGGTTTTCTCTGAACTTCAAAAATTAGCCTACCACAACTTCTAAAAACTTAACATTGTATTTTGTTTGTTTTAAACTATACACAACCAGAAATGCAAAACCACAATTTGTGTTTCAATGTGGAGTTAAGCAGAACCTAGTGAACAAGTCAAGTGCAGTGACTTGTTGAGTCTTGTTGTCACTGTGATGTTGTGAGACAATCAAGTGCTAGGAGGCCACCTAAATTTGTTTGTCAAGGAATAGTAACTCTCCCCAAAAGCTCAAATTGTCATTTTTACATTCTTCTTAGTGTACAGATTTAACAAACAGAGACACAACGTGTTCATTTAGGAGCTTTACAGGTGCTGGAAAGCAAATTTTTTTAACATTGGAAAGAGCAAGACTAACTATTTCTCCATTTTCAGTCTTTATGCAAAGCAAAGCTAACTACTTTCCTGTTCCAGCACCATAGTTAGCACATAGAGATGAGTGTTATCAATCTTCTCATGTAACTCTCTGTAAGGAAGCAAATGAGCAAATTTCCCGAAATGATGAACTATTCATTTAACAATGTAACCAATTATTTTACCTAGCATTATACTGGACTTTTAATAGCAATACTACTTAATGAACCTACACTCAACTTACACTTACTAACGTGAAAATGAAGTTATCATCCAGAGTGTGCAATGAAAATACAAAAAAACTATTAATTACATCTTTATTGCGGCATTTCATGTATGGAAATGTATGACAATCTATAATGGTGTTTAAAAGTATGTCAAGGAACAAATGTATCATAACTTAAATATAGTAAGTAATGTAGAGGAACAAGGCTTCTCTTCCACCAGCACTCACCACTGTGTTTAATTCCTGCTGCCCACTGGTCCCTGTATCCACAGGGCTGTCCCTGAGAAGGCTCATTGTTGGTTTAACACTCTCCAGAACATGACAGCGCAATCTGTGGGAAAGTTACAATCTAATGAGTCATGAGACCATAGGGAGGATATATATCCTAGTCCACTGTCATAACTGTCATGAGAACTGTGTGGCGGCAAGAGGCCATCACCAACAGTGTACATAGTCCTTCAAGTATTTACTGTCATGGTTAAATAAAGAGCACAGATGTGTGTACCTGTGTTCCATGATTTTGTTTTTTGGTATTTCTTTCCAGAACTGTGCAAGTTCTTGTGATCCAACATTGTCCATCTCCGCAGCCATAACCAAAAATCTGTCTTGTGGAGAGGCCTGAGAACCTGCACGAAACCATCGAGGTCGACATTAAACCAAAAGATTTATGAAAGCTAGTACAATTAGGACAAAAATGTTGTTGTAGTAAATCCTGGATGGATATCCACATTTTTATGAGAAAACATTGTTTCGAATGCCATTACATGAAAACAAAAAAGGGAAGGATTAGATTCTTCCAGTAAAGGTGAGAAAAGAATTAAAATCGCTGTTTAAATCAATAACAAACCAAGGGAGCTGAGAGAGGCTGTGTTAAAAAAATTCAGTGCAAAGTATTGAAAAGAAAACACCACAACTACATCCTAGAATTAAAGGCGCTCCTAAGATATCGTGTTCACGAGAATGGAAGGGACAGACAGACAGAGAGTGGACCGTACGTAAAGACAACCTGAAAACATAATTCCACAAGCCACAGCTGTCGCTGATGTGGAGGCATAAAAATGCAACCCTAAAGTGGGCAGTGCTGATTCCTCTGAGCTATGTGCAGCACATCTTAACCTGCAGCTGACATTTTAGAGCTCGAAGGCCACAAAATGTTTTTATTCAAAGAGTGCTGTCAGTTTTCTGATGGTTTGTTTTGGGGAGATTACTCTTTTATCACTCTTGAAATATGTATGTCAGGGAAAGAACAGTTCCTGCTGGCACTTTGGGAGAGTAATAGACTGGACCATTTGATTATTCTAAGGTTCAGAATTTGGAAACATCTGCTGGGAGTGGAGTAGAGTGCAAAGCTTAAGTGCGGTACCTCCATGTAAGGACACCACTATGTCTACTGAAGCTCCCGGTTCACAGCAGCTGCTACTGGGCTTCACTCTGTACTTCTCAGGTGCTGTGGTCCGTACCTGTGGAGATATCAGATGCACCTTTAATAAATCTTTTGATTTTTGTTTTGTCTGACTAACAATCTAAAACCATGACAAATTCACTTTACAAATATATATACATGCATTCAGTAAGTATTCACTTTTTCACATGTTATAATTCAGCCTTATGCTAAAATCATTGAGATTTAGCTCAGATGCCTCCCACTTCTCTCAGCCACTTTTGAGATGTTTCTACACCTTGATTGGAGTCTAGCTGTGGTAAACGCAATTGATTGGACATGATTCGGAAAGACACACCTAAGGTATAAGGTCTCACAGCTGACAATGCATATAAGAGCAAAGACCAGGCCATGAGGTAGAAGGAACTGCTTGCAGAGCTCCGGGACAGGATTGTGCCAAGGCACAGATCCGGGGTTTGACGGTTCCCAAGAGCACAGCGAGCTCCATAATTCTTAAATGGAAGAAGTTTAGAACAATCAGGACTATACTTAGAACTGGCGTGAGAAACAAGATTCTTTGGTCTGATGAAATTATGATTCAACTGTTTGGCCTCAATTCTTAGCGTCTTGTCTGGAGGAAACCAGGCACCGCTCAGCACCTGCTTAATACCATGCCACTGGTGAAGCATGGTGGTGACAACATCATGCTGTGGGGGTGTTTTTCAACAAAGAAGCAAAGTACAGATATGTGCTCAATGAAAACCTGGTCCAGAGCGCTCAGGACCTCAGACTGAGCCCAAGGTTCACCTTTCAACAGGACAATGGGTTCAAGTCAGGGCTCTGGCTGGGCCACTTAGGGACACTCACAAAGTTGTTCCTAAGCCCTAATCCTTTGTTATCTTGGCTGTGCACTTTGAGTCAATCAAATATCTCTGGAGAGACCTGAAAATGGCAGTCAACCAACAGTTCCCATCCAACCTGACAGAGCTGGAGAGGATCTGCAGACTTTCCAAATCCAGGTGTGCAAAGCTTGTTGCATCATAACTAAGAAGACTTGGCGTTGTAATCGCTGCCAAAGGTGCTTCAACTAAGTACAGAATGAAGTCAATGTGACATTTCAGTTTTTCCTTTTTAATAAATTTGAAGCAAATCATTATGGGGTATTGAGTGTTGACTGATGGGGGAACAAATTTAAACAAGACTGCAATATGAATGTGAAAAAAGTGAAGGGGTCTGGATACTTTCTGAATGCACTATAATAAAACAACAAATCCTCACATTTGAGAAGCTGGCACACACACACACACACACACACACACACACACACACACACCTTGAAGGCCACTTGATTTTTAGTCACATTGCTCAGGATAATGAGACATTTCTTCTCCATCTCTCCAGAACCAAAGCTGAGCTCCTCTGCAGGGCTGGAGGGAGAGGAAAACACACACACAGTGTGTCTTACACAAGTCTTAAATAAAATACAGTGGTTTATTATTGCCTTTCAGAACAGATACAGCTGCTAGATGCACACAGGAGTTTCCATTTGTTTCACACCATGCTTTGTTGTTTCTTTTGTTAAATAATACAGATTGGGCTTCTGTGATACCTGTGCATTGCTGCCTGTGTGATAGGATTATCCTGGGACTTGTTGCCTTTCCTGCTACACATCACCTTAACTATCTGCTTCTGCAAGTCTTTCTTGGATGATGATATAATAGCAATATTGTGCAGCTCAAAAAAATCATAAACATAAAAATGCAGGGTTTCTGTCAACCATGTTTACATAAATCTAGTCAGATGTGGTCTACAATCAATAAAACACCTCCCATGACTGGATTAGCTTGCCCTAGAGGGGTTCTGTGTACGAAAGCTGAATTGTGGGCCGCTATAGACCACCTGTTGTGGCAATGTGGTTTAACACCAATTCATTTACAAGAATGCACCGCAAATGTCTTGACAAATGAGACAAACGATAAGTAATCAACACAGGTAACAGCAGCTCTCGCCTTAACGCCCTTTCTAATTCAGTTGGTAATGTGCGTTTGTGCTGCATATTTCGCCGCATGTTCGCGTTAATCACACTGACAAATTAACTGACACATAGCTAATATGAGGCTGAAACAATTAGTCGATTTATCAATTAGGTGATAGACCTGTTCACCCTGTTGATATTGGCAGAATTAACATCCTGTGGTTTGCAGATTTCAAGATTCTTCCACAGCTCCTGACAACATATCTTTACACGCAGCTTATTCTTCACACTAATGGATCTCTCTCAGGCTTTTGAGCCATCTGGCCATAGTTAGAGGCTATAAGAGAAATTAAACAGCATTATTATCAGGTTTAAAGTCCAACTGAAATCACATTCAGGCATCCCTTTTTGCAGGAAGAACAATGTGTTTTTTTATTTACTGTTAATAGTTTTTTATTATTCAAAAGGAAGGGAAAAATGGGGGAATTTCAGAAATACTCCTTTTCTTTCAGCATGTTGATGTCTATGCTTCTGTGTTTGATTGACAGCAGCTGACAGGCTAAGCACCGGAAAGGGAATGAGAGAAAATGTAAACAAACTTGTCCTGTAAGTTACAAGCCATGGGCAGATGGTGTGCTGCTAGCAGTGGTAGTGAAGAGTAAGGCTCACAACAGCACCTATAGGGACCTAAATGACATTTGCAGATGTGCTTACATGCTATTTAGTGTGCTGCCGCTGACCCGCTAGCTAATTAAATATCCAGCCTGCAAACTGACATTTGCAGTGCACTTATCCCCGTTGAATGGTTGTTTGTTGGCTCTTTCATCAAGTTAAGGTGCATGACGGAACATATGTCCACGTAAGTTAGATAAGAAGGAGCAGAAAAGCTAAAGGAGGTTGTTGTTCAAAGTCTCTGGCTTTTGTGTGGTGTATCAGGGTGCTGCCTGGCTTTTAGTCAATTTGACTATCTGCTCATGATAGAGTTGACGTTACTGCTTCGTAAGTATGGATTAAAATGAAGCATCTGAATGGCTGTATGGAAACAAGTTTATATTTTAATCTCTGTAGATGGAGAAACTAATGGTATTCTGACAAATTAATACATAAAATGGGAAGTGCAATCATGGAATCAACACAGATTTCTCCCTTTTGGTTTCTTATTTTGTTCCACAGGAGAACACACGTCATGTGTTTTATAGAGCACATATGTATGCTGTAGCAGAAAAAAAATATGCAATATAATTTCTGTTGGTCTTCAGGCAGGATAGAGCTCTGATCATGCATCAAAGCTGTGAAATTCAGAGCTAAAGCAAATCTGTGGCCTAAATTCTAGGGATGAGACCCCTTGCCTCACTCTCTTATTCTTGTTGGTGTGAACTTGATGCTTCTTCTAACCAGGTTCGCAACACTAAAATCTGGCTATATATAGTATGCGATTTCATTCAGTCACCCTCAGTGGAAACTGAACACTTACTCCATTGGGGTCTTTAGTTTTGCCAAGAAAAAAATTGGTGAATAGACAATAATATCTGCCTTCTATGTCTAAAGGTTCTCATTGATGCGACTTGGCTACGTTTCATGGACTAAACAAAGATATATTTTTCTTTTTCATGTCCTCGTGTGTTCTTTTCTCCAGTGAAACAGCTGTAGAGTCTGGCATTTGCTTGAGCTCAGCGTGAGTCTTCTGGCTCTGGGAACCTTTGGCAAACACAAGATCAAAGCCCCCTACTCCCTACCAAAGCCCCCAGCCTCGAATTAAGGCTAACACAGCTCAGAAACATAATTGCATTTAAGGCTCATTTAAATCTGTTTATCACTATAATTCACAGCCCAGAGCTGTCAGAATCCTCACATCAAAGGCGTTACTCCATAAAAAAAAAATGAACTCAACGGACATTATTCATGAAAACGAGGAGTAATATCATACAGAGTGTGAATGCACTGCTAAGTATTTACCCAAGATCCAACCACATCACTGTGTGATTGCTATACTCCTCCGCAATACACAGCTTTTGAAGTTGACACTCTTTGCAATAAAATGAAAGCTTAATTAAAATATATGATGTGTCTATTGACAGGTGTGAGACATGACGAGTGCTCCTTTCTTAAAGGTTAATTGATCACTGGATCAGTCTCTCCCCCTGATTACTGTGGCACCATTAATAATGAACAGCACCGGCTCATTTCTACTCATTGAACAATTGATTGGTGGCATCCTTAATTCCCGCCCACGTGTGACCAGATCAATTGAGCTATAAAGGCACAAACACATCAATAATGACTTTAGGCTTTGAGCCAATACACGAAGAGAACATTTTTGTCAATACCTACAAGGCAATTATAATTTGTCATTTTTGCATATGGCTCCTCAATACACATACACTCAGTTGCAAGTTTATTAGATACACCAGTCTTACCTTCATAATGGTTATAATGTTCAGTTTTGTTATTTTAGATTAACTGGCAACTGATTGTACATTTATTCAGATGGGGCACAGTGTGAAGTCAATCACAGTGCAGCACCTGAACAAGCTTTGGAGTTCGGCAGAAATGTTGGGAACAGAATCAAACTAGCAATCCTTTGGTGACCAGTCGCCCTCTCTGGCTTCAGGCCTTTGTGTCTCTCAGACAAACAAGACGAAGTCCTGCTCAACAACACACAATGCCCTACACAAATTCTTTAGTCCATATGTCCTGTGTAAAATGTGCAGACCATTTTTCCATTTCCTTTCTAACTGCAATGAGACCATGATCAATTCTAAGTAAAAGTACACGCGTGTAGATGACATAATGGAAAGGGGAGCAGGGTGACCTACCTAACATCTAGCAGAGGGCCTTTGAAGGTGGTCAGTGGCTTCCTGGCTCCTTTGGTCCTGGCACTTGTGTCTCCTTTATCATTGTCCTCTGCCCTCAAACTGTCTTCCAGGAAATTCACCTGAAACAACAAAGACCACTTAATTAGAAAAGAGACTCAGAACACTGATAACGTAATCACGTGACTGTTATCTGATTCCTTCTCTGAAAATGAAATGCTTGACCTTTGACCTTCATGAAGAGAAAGCTATCAGTTAATGAAGCCCCTGACAGTCATCTGTAATGATTAATAAATGGTTCTTGTGAAATAATGGTGAAGCATTGTTTTATCAAAAGAGAATCTTTCTTACAAAATGTATTTTTTCTTTTACCAAGAACCCCTTGTGACGATTCCTGACCTTTCTTCCTAGTAGTCTCCAGTGGGAGCACAGAACCACAGGCAGCATGTCCAGTTGAAAATGCAGAACCACATAACCCACAAACACATGACTTTCTTAAAAAAAAAAAAAAAAAGACCCTTGAACGAAAGTAGGACAGAAGTCATGATATCACACTTTCATTTAAGCACAACATCCATAAACTTTAACCCAAATAATCTGCAGAGGGGTCACAAGACCATACAACAGCTGACATGACAGAAATTGTGAAACTTCTGTATAAGCGTTGGACATTATAGTTAAAGTGGCTAATTTGGGGAAATAGATGTTTTCACAGTGTTGCTGGCACCACATATTGTGTAAACAGATGGGCGAGTGAGCACATCATGGGAGCGGAGGGAGGAAGGGAGGGCAGGGGCAAAGGTGAGTGGACTCTGCGTGTGATGGCAACATTTATGACTCAGAGGGGAAGTGTGTCATTTGTTGTGATAAGCAACAAAAAATGTCATCTTAATTTTATGGCTGACTGTCATGCAACTGCCACAATGAAGACATCAAGAGATAATCAGCTGCTGATGAAATGTCTCTATTTATTTGTCATTTTAAAGAGCAAGCTTAACACAATTAGGTGAATGATGTGAGTAGAAAAAAAGTAAAACATGCTCCAATTTGAATTAAAAATGAAACTTTGAAATATTAGACTGTTTCATACAGATATCAGAATTAAACATAGTATTTTGATAAGAATGAGAACAAAATAAATTCATTTTGAGAAACAAATTACTTAAAAACATTTTCATTCTAATAATCACGTACAAAGAAATAAAATAGACCATTATAAAATATATCTAAAATTCAAGAACTTCTCCATGATTTCTACACACTGTGTAAGATATGAAATGCAAAGACAAAAAAAAAGAATCATTGAAGATTTTGCATCATCCTAAACTAAAAGATTAGTGAAATGCTCATAATGAGGAGTGTCTATTAATGATACAGTACAGTAAAGGCACAAAAGTCTACATGATTAGCACTCTCCAAAGTCACGGACCTGGTAAGGATAGTGTTAGTGGACAAGGCACAGATGGCTTTAGTAAAAAGTTGCCAAAAAGGCAAGCTAAAATTTAGTGCTGTGGGTTAATAACGCTGACTACTGTTATATAACAGTAACAAACTTAGTAGTTTTCTAATCTGACGTTAGAAGATATAAATGATATGAAATGATTAATTGGCAGTAATGACTGTGTTACCCGTTTTCTCTCTGAGCTAATTAAACAATGAAATTAGTGTCTCACTTGGTTCAGTGTTTACATGATAAGGTGCAAAACGTAGGTTACTCATCATTTAGCCTACATCCCTACATAAAGTCAGAATTTGTTTTGTCTTTTTAAACAGTACAGTGCAATTTAGAGGAGTTCAAATTGAAATGTGTGGTCCACAACAAGTCAAGGGATGAACATGTCAAGGAGTGGTGTTGACATCAGTCGACTGTTAGGGAGGTGCACTCACAAAAATTCAAATCACGTGAGTACACCTGCCCGTCCAGCCTGTAGAGATCTTCTGGGCACAGAGCTCCTTGTGTGGGTGTGATCCTACACTGCCTTACCATCTCCAGCCCTTGTTTCAAAACAGAGAGAAATGCAATTAGCTTCCTGAAGCCATCAAGGTCTCAGCACAGCGCTGCCTGGAACCCAGAATTCAGGTCAGGGTGGGTGGGTGGTGGTGGAGGGGGAGAGTCTCTTGTTTATTCAGACAAGATGGATCAGAGGCAGTGAGCTGAGTACTGTGGAATGTGTTCAAAAAGGCTTGAAGTGCCAACAGGTTGGTATATTAACGCAGTGCCACAAGTTTAGTCACAGCACAGGCTACCAGAGTCTAAGCCTTAATGCCTGATAAACATATCAAGAGACTGTAGATGCTGCTAATTAACCTGTTAGAACAATTAAAAATTTCTCTTAAGCTCTTATAATAACCTATAATCACCACTCTCCTTTCACCTCACTTCCAGTAATTAAACTAGCCTTTCTTTTTATTGTGTTTCGTTTTAAATACTCTTGATTCATTTAACAATCAACAGTATAATTATTTCCAAACAAAACTATCAGTTTGTAAAGAAGTTAGTACACAGATGGTTTTATCTTGTAGATAACAGCAAAGCCTTGAATGAACCAGCTTCTGGCCAAATGATGGGGTTCATAAAGGTCCCAAAATTAAGTTCGAATTAGTATGTGACCTTCAGCCAGTGGCAAAATTAGAAGTCACATGAATCACCATTAAAATTAATTTTAATTGCTATAATTCACCATTAAAGTTTGGAGTTTATATAAAAACTACTGAAGTACTATTCTCTTACGGTGTTTATTCCTCAACAACCGCCAACCACTTGACTGCAGTCAGGCATATTCATACATTTACTTATATACTGTTGCTCATGAAGTTGGAATAAAATATTTTTTACCTCTTTCCATGAAATGATTGTGACAATGTGATTTATTCTTGACAGATAAAGTGTATATCTTCTCAAAACTTTAGTAGTCAATCTCTTCCAAAGTGATTACTGATGCATTTAAATAGGAATAAACAGAGGATTGTGTCTGAAAACAAAATGATTCCAACTTTATGGGCAACAGTGTATTATACCACACGCTGTGTGTGGTGTCACTGCAGGGTGGTAGGGTAACTTTAGTTCCTCATGCTAATGTGAAAAATATCTTCCTCTCTGCCACAGAGCTGACTCAGAAGTTCTGATATATAGACTGACACCTCAGGGGACAGTAGTGCTCGTTATATTACAGTTATATTATTATACAGTTATTAGGTTTAGTATCTGGAGATGAAATTGAGTCATTGCTCCAATAGAGAGCTATGCATCTTTTCTGTGGGGTTATGCAGGGCAAGTACACCTCACTCTGACCAAAAATATGCCAGGAGGAGGTGTGCTAGGTGATTCTACGTTTAAATTTTACAGTAAGAGCATTAACAAAACTCGTGCCTATGGAGTACTGTTGAGGCAAACAATTGACTGATTAGCATGTCTCTGTTTTGTAAATCTAAATCTGTTGTGCATGACCATTGTCTAATATATTAACAATGGCAGTGCTGTTTGTTCATTGGAGCTTAGGAGACTCACGGGAATAGCTTGGGGTGACGCAGAACTGTTAGGTCTCTCCAGTAGATACAGGTAGTGTCCTATAGGTAGCAGGCTAAAAAAAACTACAGCACTGTTATGTCCTAGTCCTCACATTACATGTAGGTTAAACCCAAGTCTGCTGCAGCCTGACTGTGACAACAAACCAAAATATCTGTAAATAAAACCTGCAACACTAAATAACAACAAAGCAAAAAGAATAAATAACCATGGTTGAAAATCAGATGCACCAAAATTACGTAAATGTACAACTTTCTACAAGACTTCAACAGGCATTTCCTGATAAAAGGCATATCCTGAGATGACCCCCTTAATACCCTCCATCTATTTACATGCAGGCTCTCTTTGCATTCTGCTAGCTAAAAGAAGCTAAATAGATTATGAAATGAGGACTGGATCGTCCTGTAGGGAACGAGTAGAATCTGTGACATAAACTGCAGTCCTGGTGCAAGCAGGTAAAATTCGGTGACACCATAGTGAGACTGAGGTGACATTGCAGCCGCAGACATATTCAAGCTGAAGCCTGTGGGTGACTCAGTGATGGTGCTACACTGTTGCTGCATGCTGTCGTTTGGGGGGGGAAACAGGAATCCAGCTACAGCAGGGAACAGCTTAAGTAACAGACTTGACAACCTCTGTGGATCATATGAGGAGCTGAGAGGATGAGAGGAGCAGTGTGCCTGCTGTGATGCATGGGCTTTGTTGGCAGGATTTAACTGCAGCCAAAGACATTAGGAGTCACCTTCACAGAGACAATGAGCAAAAGCTTAACGTCTACCAAATAAGGGCATTACTTGCCACTTAATTCACAGTTGTCTCCACAGAGCAGCCTGATTACATGCTGTAATCTCTGGCTCAACTTAAAGAAAGTGAGTCAAAAAAGAAACAGGAGGAATCTTTGAGCATAGTGCATCTAATATGACTGGGAGCAGAGAGTTGCATCTATAACAGATGGACAGCACTGCCTGAAATACCAGAATGAGAATTAATCATGACTTAATCACTCTCAGCTTACGTTATACATGAGAGCAGCTACACCGAAGACAGAAACACGGGTCCTGCTAACTGTATTAGTTTCAGCATCAGCAATATTTATTCATATTCATTTACTAATTCTATACATTTTCTTATAAAAAAAAAAAAATTCTAGCACACCTGAATTTCTGAAAGGACTGATAACTAGATATAAACTTGAAAGAGAATGTACCTTTTTGGGCTTTACTGCAACCTCAGAGTTGAAGCTGGACTCCAGAGTTTCTTTACCCTCCATTTCGCCCTCTTTGCTTTCCGTCTCATCCTCACTGACAATGGGTCCATTGTCACAGATGGGTGTTTGGAAGTCGTCATCAGGAAGAGGAGGATAGCTATACTTGAAGGGGTCCTGCAATGTAGCCAAATAAGTTATATCACTACAAGCATGGTTTTTCAAGCACATACTGTCAACTTAAAGTAGCGATACTGTCTTTGAACAGAAAGTTCAATGACTTCGATGTCAATAAATGTCATGATATGAATTATAAAAGGGGAATTCTGTTAAATAATCAAACTGATGTTTATCATTTACTGAAACAACAAAGTTACATTTCACTTTTATTGTTGGCACGACAGTTACAACCTTACAGTCCTGATCAGGATTTATTTGAGAATACCGAGCAGCTACAAGCAAGTAAACTGTACAACGTTCATTATTTCGCCACATCTAGAGTTTAAATCTGTAATTTTATTTATTAATACAAATTTTATGAATAAACCAACAGTACAGTACATATACATATTTCTTAAAATGGTTTATATCCAGAATTTGTTTAAATTGATTAAACTTAATGCAACACAATTGTGCATCACACCATCATTACAATATGATCCCACTAAAAGATGTTAAATGTTACTGAATTTGTAACTAGTTGTGGCAATTAACTTAACTTTTGCAACTGTCTATCAGACAGTACAAGATATAAGGATATTTAAAAAACTTTTAATATCAGACATAAAGAAAGACATAAAAACATACCGTTCCACCCATGTGAGGTGGCAGGTACTCGGGACCTATGAATGTCTGGACCTCAGATTTGGAGGCAAACTTTAGTTTGCTGATTGCCTCGGGACCCAGCCACGACTTCACAATCTTCCACGCCGCTGAAATGAGACATGTTCTATGTTCAATTTGTCAGAATCAGATCAGTATTTAAATAAGTTATTGGCGCACATTAATTGTTGTAATTGTTAATTGTTAAGAGAGGAAAGGCTCAGTCTCACCATTCATGATCCAAGGCATATCCACGATGATCATTTTGGCTGAAATGTTAAGTTAAGACAAAGTGTTTATATTTAGTATGACTTAAAAGTAGCTGTAAATTATTAAAAAGTGAATGTAACATATATCCATCAGGATAAATATTCATTGTGCTTTCATAGCAACTCTTGTTACTTACATAAAAACTTTGGATAATATACTTTGAAGCAATTAATGATGTACTTCACAAACTCCATGTCCTGAAAAACAAAGTGGGGAAAAACAATGATTTTAAAAAACAAAGCAAGACCGAAGGCTTCAACTATAGAAGACGCTTTATGGGTTTTCAACAGGGAGAATGTTTGTTCACTTTTAACCGCCTCTAGATCTGAAGTGACCCACTTAACATAAAATGAAAATTCATTACAAGCTCCACTGAATGATCCCCCGCTCAATCCCTCTAAAATATTATGTCTGGGAAAGAATTGAGGATACATTTTCTTTTTCTTAACTGTCACTTACATTTTTATATTTGATTTGAACTATTTGCAAAATAGATAATTATATGACTTGCTGACACACGCACACATTTTCTCACCATTTGCAGAGTGTGATTGCACTACCTATATCTAATGATTTTCATCATATCAAAGAGTCAATCAAAAAAGGGAATGGCTTAGACTCAAATGCATTTTCTCCACATAAATAACAAAAGGCTTTTCAACAATTTCATCTACTCTTTAGATAGCACCAGAAAATCTAATCATGGCTAAGAGATAAAATTCATATTATATATATATCACATCTAGAAACTGCATATCCAGGTGAAAGGTTCTGTTTTGCTTTAAATCGTTTTTTAGGTGAACATGATAAATGTTCATGTTACTGTTTTATGTTAATTATAATCATCAGACACACAGCCGATATGTCAATAGATACAGCCCCTAAACCCTGCCTGGGCTTCATAATTGGCTAGAAACCTCATTGCTATGCAGGAGCCTCACTCCCAAGCCTTAATGAGATCATACTGGCTACCCTTGCTCTAACTCGTACTGTGGTTCAACAAGCCTCAATAAGGCTGCTTTCCAAACTGATCTTCTAATCTACTCATTTCATATTTGGGTTGCATAGCTATTCATCCTTCCTGCCTTGTTTGTGCTGGTTTATTTATATTTAATTGAGTCATTTCTCCAGGAGAGAGCCTAGCCAATGAAACACAGTCGCTGACAGAGAGCTCCATCAAGGAGCTAACGCCTGTGACACAGTGAGTCTACGGATTAGGCAGTCCACTCGAATTGACCAACGGGATTTAAAGGTTACTTTAATCTCCAAAGTGTAAAACCATTGAAGAGCATCAGTCCCTGCAAGACCACAGCTCAGACAGCAAGAAATATGAGGATCCTCAACAGCATTTCAATCTCAGCAAAGTCACAGCAAAGAATTTCCCTTTTTGTTTTTTTAAAATAAAAGTGAAGCATGTTTAATGGGAAGGAAATGAAAATGTTTCTTTTGAAAACCTGGATATTAAATATAAGAAAAGAAGCTAAATTAAAAATTGTATTAGAGCATAACAAATCAGTTAAAAAAAAGAAGTAATTGATACAATTACAAAAAAAATTCTGAAACAATAATCATGGACTTACTATATTGCTGAGGCCAGACTCACTCATATCAAACACAACAGTAAGTGGCATTCCAGGTTCTTTCTTTGCATACCGCTCCAGCCAGAAGGCAACATACTTCTTCTTGTCCAAGATTGTTTTTGCATCCTTGATGTGTAACTTTACTTTGAACCAGACTAAACACAGGAAACAAGGTTATAGCATATTTGTATAAAGTATATTTGTTTTTTAATTTAAGTATCGTCGTTTTGGATTCGTGTTGAATTATTACATACATTTAACAGACCAGATATCATATCAAACAGTTAAAAAAGGCTAAGTTCTAAGTCCATATGAGTAGAGTAATTATGTTGGTGATAAGCCATGTACATACAGAGCTTGTTGCCTTCTTTGTCATATCCGTGGAGGTAGACAGCACCAGTCTCGAACATCCATCTGGGAATGGTGCTCTCAGAGACATCTGAAACACGCAGGGTGACACACATTACACCATTAACAGGTGTTTGTTCTCATTTAAAGTATAATTATACAAAACGTGGCTTTATAGGCAGAGGGCAGAGGTTGCTTGCAAGGTTGTTACTAGATTTAGTATTTGAATCCTTCTCTGTATTTGGAGGCACAGAATATTTTACATTAGAATTTTTTTTTTTTTTAAATTGTCCTTAAGATAAGCAAATTGAAGCAATTTCATCTGTCTGAAATATTAAACCAGACATGAACAATAGTTTCTTACTTTTCAGAGGAAGTCATGCACTTATCATAACTTCTAAAAAGCTTAACTACCGAGGAACCCAGTTTCCCTAAAGTGGGTCTTCCTTAAACTACTTGAATAGCACACTTGTCGTCAACCTTTTTCAATAACTGAAATGAAGGATCCTAAAGACCAGAATAAATCAAATTTTCTAAAGACAACTGTTTGACAATTGAATTTGTTGGATTAAAGCTGGACTAACTGCAACTCAGACAAATACCTTTAGAAAACAGAAACAGTAGGGACTGTTCTCAGAGGTAGCCTATGCATGGAGATATGGGTGTTTAACACACAATGACACACTGTCTGGATTCATCCCAGAGTGGCACAAAGACAACCAGTGATGTGTGTTGCAAGCTTGCATCTAAATATGGCAGTGTCAACATTTCTACTTTTAGGTAGGGCTGGAAATTGAACTTTGCAATGGACTGAATTGAGCTTGTAGCATGAATAAAATATTGCTTGGGTACTGATTTTTTAAACTCAGGTACTGTATTGGCACTAGTATCAAAAGGAACACCTAGCCCTCGTTTTAGGTGATGTGAAATTGTGCGTAACACATTACACAGCATTCAGCATGACTTCTTACCATTCACACCAAATTCTTTTCTCCACTGAAGACTTTCGTCAATCATTTTCAAGGCATCATCAACAACATAAAGTCTCCATGTCAGGTAGCCCTCCACCAGAGCATCATCTGTTTGAAGCCTTTCCGTATCTCTGGAGTCATATTTATCTGCTGAATCTGTAAACACCGGCATAAACACAGGCTGAATTCAAATTCAAAAGGGGTCAGCACAAGTTTTCACTTTCAACCACGTTGGCCTACTTATAAAGTACTGTTAAGGTTATATAGTGTTGTAAACTCAGGTAAAGACCACCTGGAGACAGTACCGCATTGGCAATACAGAGCTAATGTTAGCTAGTTATCTGTTAGAGCTTATTGAGGCTCCGAGCATTTAGGTCAACATGACGTTAAGTAACAGTTAGTGGACAGTGAACGTACAGTATTTGAATTTATGTAAAGGATAATGACTATACAAGTGCCTGGTCACGGAGCAAGTTATTTCCTGCTTATCCACAATAACTTGTGTTACCTTGGAGTAACTCATTCTTGAATCTCTGTCTCGTCTCCTCAATCTTCTTTTCGAGGTCCTGTCAAAACAGAGTTTTTTTTCACGTCAGGCACGTCTTTGGTTTCAACAGAACAATTTGCAAAACAGCTTAGAAAAGTGCGTTCTAAAGGTCTTTAACGATACCTGCTCTCCTTCGTGTTGGTCTAGTTCAGCCATATTCAGCCGTCCCTGGTAGTTTCCTAGTCTGGTAGTTCCTTATCGAGCTAGCTAGCTTACTAACGTTGACGTGAATCAGTGCGAAGTGTGAAACTGACGTCCTGGGGTCGCCATTTTGGCTCTAGCCGTGGCCACACCTCTCCGCTGTGGTTTTAACTCAAAGAGTAAAGGGTTTTTTGGGTGGCGTTGAAGTTCATGATCACGGGAAATTTAAAGGGTTTATCTAATCATTCTCACACTTGACTCGACTGAATACAGGACTAGCGAGCTAAGTATGTTATAATGTCGTTAACTCACTTTTGTTTACCAACTCTCACCCACAATGCACTTTACAGGAAGTGTTCAATTCCGGTTGGCGCGCTCATAAGAATATACAAACAGTCCGTATGATGAAACGCTGAAAGCTACTGCATGTCTCTCTCGCCAGTTAATTTAGTAACGAGAGGTCCATTTGTACACCTTGGTGATACTTCTGCCATGAACGTGACAGCTCCAAATTTAGCAATAACGTTAACCCAAGCGGTCAATTGGGAGAGATAAGTCCTTGTTGGTATCCGATGCTTCTCTTTGTATAATGGAAAGATTGCTCCTGGAAGATCTGTATCGCAATCCCCATCGGATTTCCCTGTGTGGAAAGATAATCTTATTTAACTGCAAACGAGCTTCAGGCACAAATGACGGCGAAATAAGCGAGTTAATATTCCGCAGCCTTTCATTTGAACGGGAGGACAACACGTTCCTGAAGGCAGCGGATGGAGCAGCTGTCATCAGCAGGAAAAGATCAATTCATGTGGATATTGTAAAATGTAAATGTGCCATAGATGCTCAGAAGAAAGTCGCCACACCTTGTGTTTTAGTGACACGGAAGAGTGAGAAAGGAGAGAGCTTCAAGTATAGCCTTCTCACACTGAGCAGCTCAAACCGATTGGAGCCCTGCATTGAGTTTAAACTCACTTATCAAATGAGGGAGTCTGTGTCCATCCTCCAAGGCCCCACGGTGTTGTGGACTCATGCTGGTAATGTCTTCTATACATCTTTGCAGGCAGGGGAGGTGAGACAGATACCCATTCAGTTTTCCCACAGTGTTATTGGAGAACTTCCCCTCCACAAAGGACAGCTATTTATTCTTGGACAGCAAAATGAAAATAATCAGCTCACGAACCAAACTCTGGGCTATTTTGTTGAGAATGGACATACATTTGATGGCACTATGATTTTACCTCACCCTTATATTTGCATCACACGGTGCATCTTTGTGCTCTCAGCTGAAAAAGTGGATAGTGTGCTGAAATCTGCTGTGGTTGCAGCGACTTCTAACCAGCAAATCGTGTATTTCGAGAATGGAATCGTAAAAGACACATGTCAGCTCCCCTTCCAACAGCCTGAAGATATTCAGTTGGTCAACACTGGAAGGAATGGCTGCCTGTTTGTCATATCATTTCACCAGGGGCATGTTTGCGCTGTGTGGAAGGAAACATTTCAGGTATGTAAAAAATGGGGGTTCACTATCTATGGAATACTTGTCTTTTCTTTTGCTATCTTTCATCCAGTTTGCACATTTTTAATAAGCCTGCTTTGTTAAACTCTCTTCTCCAGATAGCCTCCCACTGGTCAGGTGTCAGCTCAATGCATGTGGATGACTTCCTGGGATGTGGAACAGACCAGTTGCTATTGGTTTTTAAGGATGAAGGTGTAACAGGGCAGCTCCTGGGAAATTTCCTCATCACTGACCTCTGTGGTATTTCATATTCTGTAAGGCATATGTCATGAACTAGAGTTTGCCATTTTATAGTGCATTTTTCTTTGATAAAGTGCATATGTGACAGAGGTCAGAATGACTCATTAAAAATACACGTTTTCAGAATGGACAGGACACTGGAGCACCAACTCGATCTCCTCCAGCAGAGAACTATCTGCTCACTCTTCAAGCCTTAGAGTCCAGACTACAGGTGAACATTTATAAACTATTACTGGAGTGACAACACAAGTCTTGTAATGCTTAACAGCAACATTGCTCATTTTATTGAACATGGCCATCTTTCTACATACATTAGTTGTATAGTGATGTGTATCTTTGTCAGAAAAATATCGTGTTAATACAGTGATAATGATTTGATTGAATCCATAACCCCAGCCCTTTTTATTCCTCATAATCAATGACCTGATGATGGTATTTGTATGAGATAACGACCTATATTCCAGTTTCCAAAATATTCTGTCAATCAAATCTGTCATCTAGAGTGGATTGACCATGCTTCAGGAGCTTCAAAGAGAAGTGAGAGTGAAGGAAAGAGTCGTGCAGCAGTCGGTCCAAGCCCTTACTGACGCGGTCTCAGAAAGAGAACCTATTCTGGCGGAGCCTGAGCAGGTAATGTTAATGTAAGAAAATATACAACCTTTACTTTCTGCTAAATGGCATGTGTTGTGTTACAGTGTTTAGCTATATTTTAGAGGGCTGAGTGGTGTTTGTAAAGGGGATCAACCCAGCAACTCATGAGGCTGAGGTAGCGTTCCTACAGGCACTGAGGAAGCAATGCCAAATGTGTGCAATGAGAACAAATGCCACAAATGTTTCCTTGTCTTGTCTACTTTATGTCTCATGATGTCATTTTAATTATTTAAATGCTTTTGTTGCGGTTTTGTGACATGGTTATGAGCCTTGCTTAACTTCTAACTGGTGGCCTTACTGACATAAGAAACACCCACAGCAAATGTTGCATATGGCCCAAAACAAAATTCCATGAAAAGCGAATGCTAGGGATAATTATCCTGTATTTTGACAGAAAGTATCACTTCCCAATTCTCTGTGTTTTCAAATAGCATTTTAAAAGTCCACTGCGTTTGTACCAAATAGACTGTTGTTCAAATTGAAATGTCTGACAGAAACTGCTATTGCTGTCACTGCTGTCACACACTTGTCATTGCTGATTATAGTCTTTGCACTTTCTGTCCAGGAAGGCCTCATTGCTCTGTGGGACTCTGATGAGTCAAAAGATGAGGCCTTGGATGACAAGATGCAAGACATGCCAGCAATGTCTTCAAAACTTCAAGTTGACAAGCTCTGGCATCGCATTGCTGAGGACCGAATGGTTGTGGGATTGATACTGACGACTGACAGCTCTGTGTAAACACCATTTGTTTTTTTAATTGAAGTGAATTTTATAGATTTTTCTGTGTGAAGAATAAGTGAGCTTTATGAGCCGCGGCATCAGCCTTCCAAAATTTCCAACTGAACATGACATTATCTAAACACTAGGTAGTGATCCCTCTAAAAAAAAAACACATCCACATAATGGGTTCTTCTGGTTGAGTGGGTCCATCTGTGTATGGTAAATATACAGGCGATATTAATATGACGCTCCATCTACAGTATTAGGCAAGTGCGAAGTACTGCTGACCAGCTGTCTGACTGTATCATTGATGCCTGATTAGATTCGTCAGAACCACAACTTTGTGGTGCCAGATCTTGTTGAGTAAATCACATCTGTGAGGTAAAACTTTTCCTTGTCCTGAAAGAACTGAGAGTTTTTGCGTTTTGCAATCAACGAGGCAGTTTTATAAAGAAACTTAATGCAAAATGTCTGTTAAGGAATATCAATAATGAATTAAGGATGTTTTTTTTTTGTTTTTTGGCCTTTTTGATTGCCCCCGAACTTAATATGAATTTCACAAGCCAGCTGCATGGTGGCAAGGTTGTCACCATGGCAACAAGTTTTTAATAACATCTCCAAGCTCCTTTAGTGGGAACAAGAAGCTATCAGATTCCTCCATCCACCTGTTCCTGTTTTTTTTATTTGAGAACATTTGAAGGAAAACTACTTCTGGCATGAAGAGCCTGTACAGTGCATTCAGAAAGTATTCAGACCCCCTCACTTTTTTCACATTTTGTTATGTTGCAGCCTTAAGCTAAAATCGTTTAAATAATTTTTTTTCCTCATCAATCTACACTCAATACCCCGTAATGACAAAGCAAAAACAGAATGTTGGACATTTTTTGCAAATTTATTAAAAAGGAAAAACTGAAATATTACATTGATATAAGTATTCAGACCATTTGTTATGAATCAAGTCAATTAGCGCTAATTCAGAACAAAAGGTATCTCAATGCACTTTTCAAATAGAAGAGGTCTAGACCTTCTCTTTGTAATATTATTTACAGAGGCCCAACAATTCCCAACAAGAGCACTTGAGATTTAGCTCAGGTGTCTCCCATTTCTCTCAATCATTTTAAGATGTTTCCACACCTTGATTGGAGTCCACCTGTGCTAAATTCAATTGATTGGACATTATTTGGAAAGACACACCTCACAGCTGACAATGCATATCAGAGCAAAAACCAAGCCATGAGGTGGAAGGAACTGCCTGCAGAGCTCAGAGACAGGACTGTGTCGAGTCACAGATCCTGGGAAGACTACAAAACATTTCTGCTGCACTGAAGGTTCCCAAGAGCACAGCGGGCTCCATAATTCTTAAATGGAAGAAGTTTGGAACAATCAGGGCTCTAACTAAAACTGGCTGCCCGGCCAAACTGAGCGATTGGGGGAGAGGGTCTTGGTAAGAGACATGACCGAGAACCGGATGGTCATTCTGGCTGAGCTCCAGAGATCCTGTGTGGAGATGGGAGAAACTTCCAGAAGGACAGCCATCACTGCAGCACTCCACCGATCTGGGATATATAGGGGGGTATCTAGACGGAAGCCTCTCCTCAGTGAAAGTTTCCATCAAAGCACCAAAAGGACTCTGACTGTGAGAAACAAGATTCTCTGGTCTGAAACCAATGGTGAAGCATGGTGGTGACAGCATCATGCTATGGGAAAGTTTTTCAGCAGCAGGGACAGCAAGACTGGTCGGGGTTGAGGGAAAGCTCAACGGAGCAAAGGCCCAAGGTTCACCTTTCAGGGACGGCTCCGTGAATGTCCATGAGTGGCCCAGCCAGAGCATAATCAAACATCTCAGAGGAGACCTGAAAATGGCTGGCAACAGATGGGCCCCATCCAGCCGGACAGAGCTGGAGAGGATCTGCAGAGAAGAATGGCAGAAAATTCCAAATGTGCGAAGCACATACCCAAGAAGACTCGAAGCTGTAATCGCTGCCAAAGGTGCTTCAGCTAAGTACAGAGTGAAGGGGTTAGAATACTTATCTCAATGTGATATTTCAGTTTTGCCTTTTGAATAAATTTGCAAAAATCTGTAAAATTCTGTTTTCACTTTGTCATTATAGGGTATTGAATCTCGAAATGATGAGGGGAAAATTTGAATTTAAATGATTTTAGCGACAACATAACAAAATGTGAAAAAAGAGAAGGGATCGGGAGACTTTCTGAATGCTCTGTATGTGATTGGTGCACTTGTACTGCTGGTGTCATTTCACCACTTAGAGATATCGGTGTTGTTAATCAGTTTACAAACAGTCGCACATTCACTCACACACAGTCCGTAGTTTTGTATCTGATTACCCGCCGTCCATGTGATATCTGATTGTTAGTGATGTGCTATTTTTGTTGCAGACCAGTGGCCAGTGTGAGCTTATCCATCCTGACAGAGACGGGCCAGAGCTCAACGCCCGAAGTCATCCAGACCCAGAGCCAAGTGCTGTGGCTCTCCACACCCTGCCCCTCATCATCATCCTCCTCCTCTTCCTATGCCTCCTCGTTCCCAGAGCCCGCAGCCAAAAGAAGCAAGCAGCACAACGCCGGTAGACCCGATGATCTCAACACATGCAGACTGGCTGTGACTGCTGTGACCAAGCTGACTCCTCTGTTGAACTCTGGCTGTGTCAAGTGCCGTGTCATGCTCCATTACGTCCAGAGACAAGATGCTTTTTCCCTCGTGAGCAACCCAACACCGGTTGTCCTGCACTGTGGTCAAGTTGCTCTAGACATCAATGGCGATTTCCAAACCCAATTGCTGAAAAACCCCAAACTCAAAACAGGTAAAATCACAAATACCCTACGACTTGAGATTTTAATTTTGACACAAGTGGATGTTCATTATTGTCTTCTTTTTGTGCCCAGATGAGGTTAAAGAGGACTTGCTGAGTCTGTTGGCAGTGCTGGATCGCTGGGTCTTCCATATAGACTCCCCTGATCACAGCTTAGGTGACATAGACGGCTGGATTCAGAAAAGAGTGGGTTGTGAGAGGATAGAAGTGAGCCCTCAGTATCTACTGTTACATTCTTCGGGACCACCAGCTCTCATGCTGCTGCGCTGGCATCAGATAACCCCTTTCCAGGGGGAACTGTCTGTCCACTCCAGGTAAATCATTTTTATTTACAGATACCAGTGAGATGGCTGTATTATTGACCTCAGAGTTGTAGGTGTTGTTGGTTTTGATAGTACTGGGTTTTGGCCATAATTATAGTATCAGTTCATAAAGGATAACAGTGGATTTTTTTTTATCTTAAAGCGTGGATGTTTCCTGCAAATAAAGAAGTTTTCTGTTTACATTTAGTGTTACTTACCAAAATCCATTGTGTCTAGGTCTACAAGTTATCGAAAACCAAGTCCTGATTTTTCCATTATCTTCATATAATTTTTTGTGGGTTTTTTTTTTTTTTTTTATGAAGGGCTTCCTTTAGTTTGTATAATTTGAAATATTATATGCTGCAATTTTTGATGGTTGTGTGAAGCCAGAAAATTTGTGTAACAGATAATCTTTCAATTCTTTTGCAAACTTTAATGTTACTGCTCATTGTATTGGTTCAAACACTGTTGCCAGGGACTCTCTTGAATAATTCAGTTTTATTCAATGTAGCTAAAGCTAGTTCTGCAACTAGAAGTGTGTACTGTTCAATTTATATTAATATATTCAAAGTTGAAGATGACCAGGATGGATGTCAGTGTGATATTCCATTGAATTAAGATTCTCTGCCAAGCAGAGAACTTAAAATTACAAATCCTGCAAATAAACTCTAGCAGGGGGTGAAACAGATGATAAACGACATGAATTATAAAGAGATATGAAGACATGTAATGTTTTTGTCTCATTTATTATAAGATGTATTATGTAGTAACATGCACAATCTGGCTCTGTTCTTCCTTGGCAGCCAATTACAGATGCTCCAGTTCCTGGACTCTTTCTTGGGTTACATCCCTGTGTCCTGCTCCATCCAGCCTGTCAAAGGTACAAGAGGACAGGGTGCAGCGCAGATATTTTCTTTGGCACTGGAAAAAGAGGTGGTGTCACTCAGAGAGTGTGTGTCATTGCTTCTTTGTGAAAAAGATGAGGATGAGAAGACAAGGAGCCCTGGGCGCGATGACACACCTGAGCCAGGTACTGTGGAGGGGCTGCAGAGGTGTAGAGAGGCGTGGCAGCGGGATGTGGAGATGAGTAGGATGAGGTTGAGCCCCCTGGTGGATGTTGGGAGGTATCGTAAGCTGAACCTAAGCATGTCCAAAGTCCAGCTTGATGGGGATTTGGCAGCTCTCTTGGAAATACAGAGAACTTTGCTCCACTGATATGCTACCGACGTAGTTATTGTTAAAAGTCATCCAATCACCGACATACGTATTACGAAAAAGCCATTGTGTCATGTCTAATAATTGAGAAAAGACCCCCGTTGCTGCCTTGGTTATGTCCTGAGCTGAACCGTGTGTGCCTGCTCTCTCAGAGAGCCTCTTGGGTTCATATCTTTTGAGTGTCTGTTGCTGTGAAGAGCCTTAGCCTATTTCCATTGGATCACCTCTTGGGTGTCACAACCTTAATCAGACACTGATGCGGTACTGCATCTCTGCTCAGCTTATTCTTCTGTTTATATCCCTTTAGACCCTGAGTGTTCGAAAATGCTCTTTTACGTCTGTCGTTGCTGCTGCAGTGTGCTCTTCAGTAGGAGACAGAGACCATTTTCATCCTTGAGTGAGAAACTATTTGTGTAAAAAATAAAGACAACCGATGACAGTAGAGCAAGGGGTTATACATTTGCTCACTGGCTGTAGTTGACTGAAAGCTTTTAGTGGTATTTCCTCTCATGGTTCAGTTATTTTCCTGTGAAACGATGTAAATAAAACAGTTCTTTGGTGCTGTTGCTCCTATGACGCTGCACAGGCTGTTAGTGCTGTAAGTTAAAATGCCATTCGTCCAAGTAAACATCGAATCCTACTTAACAGGACCTAGTCTTAGTTGGATACATAAGGTCTGCAGCAGCTTGACCCGTAGTATTTGCTAAAATGGATTTTTTTTTTCCCCCTATCCTAGAGGGGGCTGAAAAACGAAGATGTGCATTTTGCTCGTTCTACTCCATGTGTTTATGGAACTTACTCAGTCGGAGATCCACTGCCCCTCTTTTACTACTTTTAATGTCTCTGCCTCATTGCACATAACAGCTTCCACTAGACTCACTGCCACAGGTCTCCAGTAAACATAGCTGTAACATAATTACTACAGATTTCAGTATTTCCATCAGCTATTCCCAAAATGTTATTTTATTATAGTAATGGTGCTGTGAGATGATAAAACACTATAAAAGTAAGAAATGTTTTTTGATGTGTTAGAATGAAAATAAATCTCTTTTCAGCTCAGTTAGTTTTTGCTGTTATGTTCAGACACACACACAAAAGACTTCACAATCTTTTTTTGTTTTTGATGTGAGACAAACACCTCTCTCAAGGCAAGCGATGAAGAAGAATTGTCCTGTGCAGTAAATAACACCAGTAAATGGCCGGGGGGGGATAGATCACATGTGAAAAGGAAAATTCATCTGTATTGGTGTTCCCCTAGAGCCCCAACTGCCACCCAGAGTAAAATATATGTTTTGTCATCCCATTATTGCCTGTTAAGTTCTATTAACTCTGAATGGTGGAAGTAGACTGCAGGTTTTCTACAACATCTCAGACAAACATACAAACATCTCAGATATCTCAAATTGACGATAGGCAGATTTCTGCATCTTTTGACACTTCTGCGGCTGCCAGCTGTCGACTGTGACTTTAGTATGGCCGCCTATTTATGCCAGGAAAAGAAAGGGGGGGGAAAAACCAGACAAAAAGTTAGTCGTGATTTGAAAAATGCTCATGGTAAGTGAATAGTAAATAAAAATTATGAGATAAAAAGTTAAAGTAAAAAAAAAAATTAATAACAAATCAAAACATTTCGTTTGTATTTCCTATCTAAAAATTACACTTTTTATCTGACAATGTTGTTTTAGTATTTCATAATATTTAATTGCTATCTCATAATTTGAAATGAACTGACACATTTTGGTATTTAATTAAATAATAAATATTTGAAGACCCACATTTACTGATCATATAAGTGTTCATATTCATAATTAAAAGGTTACAGTTTCAGATAAAAATTCAGGATTTTATGTCTTGCTGAGCTGATGATACTTTTTTATTGCTTTAATATTATTAAGTTAAATCTAGTTGTAATCCAAATTTGCAATTTCATTTTTAATGGTGGGTGGACATTTGAACCACAGCTTGTGCCTTTTTAATAACATCAAGTTGAGTCGTCCATAACAAAGAATGCCACTGCTAAGCCATGTTTATATTGATACTGTATGACGAGGGCACTGGTCTGGTCTTTGCCTGCAGTTGACTGTTATTGATTGGGGTCACAGGGTTTCCTCCTTTGGACTCTGGAACTCAGTGGGTCAACCAAACAGGGTGGGAGGACATTGATTATATCTACAGCATAATGAACAGTGCACACACCACATACAGACATGCCACATAATAAACATGATTCTATATGCAGGGAGCTCCCATATGAGGCAACACTGGTTCAAAGACAGAAAATCCTCATGAGTTGGCAACATTTAAATTGAATGTTACCATATTTAAATTATTTAATCGTGAAGCTCTAGGACATCTCACCAAGTGTTATATAATTACATCTATAAATACTAGTATTTGTTGAGGTTGTGCCTTTTGCTTATCACAAAGCAACACATTTTTATTAAGCCCTTAGGCATAATACTACACTAAACAGTACACACAAGCTGAATTATACTTATTTGATAATGCCCGGCTAATAATTTATACCATTTCTCACCATGTGAACATTGAATACGAAGGCTGTTGAGCTCGATTCAAAAACAAATTCTCAACACAATGTCCACTCACCTTGTTCCTAAAGCTTCCAACTACACCCTGTGGCTTTTTCTCAGCAGACAGCTGCACAGTTGTCATGGAGATAGTTTGGTCGCACTGAAGTTGTGGTTTTCAGATGTGGTTACATTTTAAAACGGCCTCTGAAGTTTTATTAACTCACGGGGCACACAGTTCTCGGTGTGAATTCATTGACACTTGCTTCTCACGAGGCTACCTTGAGCCAATAAAGGAAAAGTGCGGAGATCAGTGCAACCGGTCTGCAGATGATCACACGTCAACCCGCAGCGTGTCTGGGGCTGGAGTGCCACGTGTCTCAATGTACCGCTTTTGGTGCAGCATACATAAAATAGATACCACAATTACACACACACACACACACACACACACACACACACACACACACACACACACACACACACACACACACACAGTGCTTGTTTTGCTGTTTGAAGAGTGCCAGGGAAGCATCTGAATATACACAGTCGAAATGATGTTTTGATTATGTAGTGCAATATGTGTATTCAGGCATAGGAGATACTTTTGGCAAAATCATGCACCAGTGTTCTTAACTTCGTTAATGTCCTGCTTTTCTCTCACACTAGCCCTATCAATTGCTGTGCAGTTGCTATGGCAACCCCCATTTCTTGCCTCTCTCTGTCTCTCTCTCTCTCTCTCTTTCTCTCAGACCTCTCAAAGCAGCCTCCCTAAACCTTAATGAATGAGGGAAAGTTGTTTCCCTCTTAAACACCATTATAAGCTGCAAATAATGTTCCCCTCATAAGCTGTCATTCTAAATTTGATTGCATAAAGGCTTGTTGCATCCTTGCATATTCAAACAGCAATAATAATGGATCATGATGTAAGGCTGTGTCGGTGAAATGGATGGTATTTCCATGTGAGGATTAGTATTATTGATTAGTTTATAATCCCTGTGTTTTGAGCATTAAAAAAAGCAGTTGGATTATTCATGCAGCCTTCGCAATAAGCCTACCACAGGCCATGTATTCATCTTTAAAACAAATAAAGGTTGATGGATCCTGGCATTACCCACACTGTGGTAATGAATAGTGTTACTGGGTGGATAATGGTTTTACAGGACATATATCTGAATATCGAGAACCGATGTGGTCACCCCTCTCTCTTTATTGATGATATATATTGGTAACAACAGGTGGGAACGGTGTAAGAAAAATCTTTATTACCTTGTGTATATAGCTATTACAGTTGTCCTTTCTTGTATGTGAGCACCAGGCCAGTATTTTCCATTGAACTGGTTGGCGAGCCCCAGCTGATGGAATCTCCACGCTACAGTGTGAAGGCCATTATCATGCATTAATGGAAACCCACAGTCAGATCATATCTGTGTCACCCCAAGCCACCCACTGATCCACAGCATGTGTCATCACCCTGACTTATGGGCTTGGTAAAGAGCAGAGAGCAGTGTTTGTCATTTTCTTTGATCTGATCTGCAACCAGGCGCAAAAAGCATTCTCATGTGTTTGTGCCTCACTTGATAGGTAATTTTTTTTTCTTGAAAGGCATCCATCTCTTCGTTTTGTATATGAGAGGAAAGCAATATATGGTTTAATCTTATCAACTATTGCATGTAAATATAACACAAAGCCAAGTCTTTAACCTTACATATAACAGGAGAGGTGGAAATAAAGTAAATATTGTGCACAGTCAATTTTATTGATGTACAGGCCAGTAAATCTTCACCACAGTATATCAGGAGTGCAAGGACCATTAGCTGCTCTGTACTATGAATGTTACGCAGGTCTGTCTTTGACTGTCGAATCCTTCTACAAACATACGTCACCATCCAGCAACAAACAGGCCAAGTGAAGGGAAACAGTCCACAGAGGTTGAAGAAGAATACAGAAAGCTTTTTTTTTTCTTTTTTTTTTTAGAAACATAACCTTTCCTCCATTACAATAAATATTTCATCAGACTAAATCTACAAAAACATAGTCTCAAACTCTAAAAGCATACCTAAGATACCTGGAGTATTTACCTGGAATATAAATGAATTCATGTGGTTATGGGCATATGACGACATTGAGTAATGCAGTGCATGTTCACAGTTTGTAGGCTTACATATACATTTGCTCAAAATTGGCCTTTATACTTTATGAACCTAGCCTGTGAAATATATGAATTTATTTAATAAATTACTTTAGAATGAAAAGGAAAATTAATGACTTTCAAAACATCTGAATTAACTTACATTGGTTTTTAGGTGACATCAGTTGTCCATGTATATGATTTATAATACACTTAGAGAAAAAGGAAACGACACGAAGTACCTTTGGATGTCTGGCCACAGGTAGAAAAGCTCAAACGGTGCATTCGGCTCTGATAGACCACTAAACAAGAGGAGATGCTTGAAAAAATAGAGAAGCATAGTACTTCATCTCACCAAATCTTTTGATATCTAAGGCCTCAGGTATTTCATAAAAATGCAGTATCCAATTCCCAATTCCAGATTTTCATCTGCTTTGTTCACGCTCATGCCTGAGACGTGTGCTGCTGCCTAACGTTTGAAAGATGCATCTGCACGTGCTTTCTGCCTGTATATTTGAGACGTTTGTCGCTGTATTTTGTATAAACACAAGAAGTGCCGTGACAATAATACACTATAAAACAGTCTTAAACATCCTTGATAAGAAAGACCCCTTTTTGCAATCACAAAAGGTCTTTGAGGGCCTGACTAAGCTACCTTACAGTTACAAATCCATGGAATGTTTCTTTGTTCCTTGTTTGTTCTGATGCCAACGCAGAACTGATTCAAAAAATTTTGGTCCGTCTTGTCCAGCATGTTACTAAGCCTTGAGTTAAAACCGTTATTCCAGATTCTTTAGGAAATATTATGCAGCAGTACAACAACAAAAAAAAAGCATCTGTGCCTCAAAAGCTCTTCATGTTATCAGAACATGAGCATTACTGTATGATGCATGAACATTATACATTATCCCTGAAAGAACATCGCCATCATCACCATGGTGCCTCTCAATGCACAGTCTCCCATCTCATCTCACTGTGCTTTCTGAGCATTTCTCAATCTGAGAAATGAAAAATAAATATTATTTGTCGAGGGTAAAGTCTTTACTTCTTGTGGATGTCCTCGTGCCTGATGATCTTGTAGGTAACCCAGTAGAAGACGTTGAAGATGAGGAAGGCCAGAGGAAAGGCAGCCCTGGAGATAGTGTCTATCCTCTTGGCTCTGTCCACAAACTTCTTCCTCATGGTGTCTATGTCTTTTGGGACTGACGGTTGAGGGTTTGGAGCTGGAGCAGCGTTCTTAACAGCTGAGCCATCCTTCGTTGGCAGACACTGGGTCATATTGTAGCCAGCAAAATTAAAGCGGCCTTCACGCATATCCTCATCCTGAAAAAAACATATGCACATGTGGACAGAATGACCTTACTTAGTGTTTTTTTTTTTTTTTTTTTTTTTTTTTTTTAAAAGACTGCAGCTCAGCTTTGATACTTTACTTCTTAATGGTAAATGGGCTGCACTTATCTAGTGCTTTTCAACCTTAACAAATAAAGCCCTTTACAGTTGCCTCTCATTCACCCATGCACACAGTGTCTTGCTCAAGGACAGTTCAACATATGTACAGGAGGAGCCGCGGATCAAACAGCCAACCCTGCAGTTAATGTATAATCTGCTCTACCGCCTGAGCCACAGTCGCCCAGTGGCCACAGCCACAGTGTTACTGCAGTGCAGTGAATTTACATGGACATTAATCATGAGATATTACAAACACTTTTAAATAAGAAAAAAAATCCCCAATATAACCTGATGCACTTACAGTGACTGCTTAGGGGATGAATCTTAATTCAGGCAAGTAATAACCATGTTGCACTACTTCAGTATCCCAACAAGCATCTATACAACCATGTTAGCAGCTCTGAGGCTGAAGTTAGCCACAGAGCTGCTTTGAGCTACATGCTATCGTCAGCCACAATGTCAATGCTAACATGGTGGTGTTTAGCAGGTATCGTGTTTATCATTACAATACAACACAAAGTACAGCTGAGGCTGATGTAGATATCTTCAGTTTAGTTTTGCAGGTTTTTGATCACACACCAAACTGAAGATGGTGTTAGATGATGATATTATTTTAATCTGTTCTGTACAGAACCTCTATTGCATGTCAGTCCTTGAAGAGGGATCCCCCTTCCAACCTTTGTTGTCTGTTCTGCACTCCCTGAGCCCCCTGGATGCTGTATAGATTGTAAAGCCCTTCGAGGCAAATTTCGCAATATTGGTCTAAATAGATAAAATTGACTTGAAATTTGTCAAAAGTCACCTGTCTGATGTTGAGATATTTCAATGCATAAGTGAAAACTTTCACCTGTTGATATTGCTAAAGGAAAAATTCAGAGGATCACCAAGTCATTAGGATCATCTTGTGGTTGGACTCATACAGACCATACATCTATACAAATCATCTGTACAAAAGTTAATGGCAATCCATTCATTAGTTGACGAGATATTTCAATCTGAACCATTTGGTACAGCTGACCAGTCTACATCACCACACCTCTATTGTGGCTTAAAAGTCTGATAACAAGCAGAGGCCTCTTAAAGTCTTTTAAAGCCTACCTTGTGATTCCTCCTTTGTCTTCGCCTCAGGCGAAGGAACTCTTTCTGTTGCCTGGAGACAAAATTAACCCCAGCATATTCTAGCAATGCAGCAAATACAAAGAGCAGACACACAGCCATCCAGATATCAATGGCTTTCACGTAAGAGACCTGGGGGAGAAAACAAATTTCCTTTGTTAGATCCTGCAAGGTAACATCAGCTAACAGCTCACATGCAATATGAATTAGTGCTTTAACTTGATATTGGTTGATTTTTTTTTTACCCTTCTCTATTCATTTTGATTCCTAGATCTGTTAGATTTACCAAGTGATTTGCACTCACTGATTCTGTTTTTTCTCTTTATTTTATTTATTATGACAGTTAACTTCTAAATGATTATGATTAAAGGGGGTGTTTATTAAAAGGAATATCAAAGCTGCCAGTAATATCAGAGATCGCATGGCCATAAACAGTGGGAAATAATTGTTGATTTAATTACCGAAAGAAAGAGAAGTGTAGCATTGGTTTTTATCTGTTTCTTTTGAGAAAGTGAGGATGAAGTCGAAAGCCTTAACTACTCATCAGTGTGACCTCCTATCTTCATGACAGCTGATTAGCATGTGGAGAAAACAACTCAGCTTTATGAGGGCACTTTAGGCATATTGAGTTATTGTTTTCTTGAATCAAAGCTCTCAAAGGCTCTCTTTAAATATTTATCAGTATACGTCTTTCATGTTAGAATCTCTGTTGTGGCTCAGACCTTAATGTGCTCAGCTGCAGACTGATACGTGGAGAGAGACTGATCATCAAGATCTGACAATTGATGCCTGTAGTATCCTTCGTGAAATATGTGCAAGGCAATTTACCCTGATTGAAAATAAACTGGCACCATCTTCCGCTTCTGTTGGTAATGTACACATGCTTTAGATGACAGCAAATTGATTGCTGTAACAGAAATGTTAAAGGTTCTGTAAACGAGATCTTACACAATACTACAGCAGCAAACATCTATTTTCTCTGTAAAGACATAGTGGAGTAATGGCGTCCTGAACAGAAAACGATCACCCCCCTCCTCAAACTTAATCTGAACTTCTCTGTTCTTTGTTTGGGTTGCCGGGACGGCAGCACATGCTTGTTAGTGCATGTATGTGTGCATGTTAAAGCATGTGAGTCCCTCCCTGTTAAACCATTGGTTCCCCTCACGTTTAATACACAGGGACTGCCACATGTGAAATGGCACCTTGCAGTCACCTTCCAGGATTTCCTCCATTGAACCACGGTTTCGGTCTAAAAGATCTCCAACAAAGAAAGAGATAAGACCAGAGCACAGGTGGACTGGCTGCTGGGACTACTGGTTCTAAACGGTCGGCCGGTGGACCGTCAAAACATCTCTAAAGTTTAAAGTTTTTACCGGCTCCATCAGTGTCATTCATGTGGCCAATTTCAGTGGATAAGTCCAAGGCTGAATTTCTTTCTCAGCCCGACCATGGAGCCAATTCAGGTCTGGCTTTATGAAGAAGAAGAACTCTATGAGCTGCTAAAGGGCTGCAGCTGGACTCAGAGCTAGCTTTTCTTCTCCTCGATGCGCAAGTAACTTGATGGCTGCATAATGTTACCTGTCTGTTTTCATTAGGGACTGGCTACAGAAGGCGTGATAACATTAGCTAACTTGCTGTTACCCATATTATGAATTTGTTCAGCAAATGTTGCTATTCCTAGCTGGCTTACTGACAGTTTTGCTATGGAGCATTTGACGGCAATGCTAGCACGGGCTAATGGTTGTGAGAGGATTGTATTTTGTTGGCTCTCGGTTACACTGGATAACTTTATTCAGTTGTGATTCAGTTGTGCTTCTTATTGTGTGTTTAGTGGCCACTTTTACTGGGCTTCGTAACACCTTGCTGACTGAGAACATGAAGCCGACAAAGCTTTTGTTTTAGTCTGAGATGCTGGTGGTCTCGAGCAACACTTGGCAGTGGCGATCATTTACAGAACCTCTCTTGCAATGTACTTCAACCACATATCATTTGATTCATTTGATTCATTGATGGTTTAGATAAATTTTGTCATATTGTTTCTTTATATTTGCCAGGGATATGAATCCATAGATAATGGATAATCGATAATAGATAATCTACTTCAATCATACTAAGATCTTTTACATGTGACAAAATGGTGACATTTCTACAATCCATGTAGAGTTGCAGATAAATGTCAACTTAAATTCTTAAATTTCTCCTAAAAGTTGCCACAAAACTCTACACACATTATATTTCAACTCTAGTTATCACAGTTTTGGTCCTTGCACTGATTTGTCCCTAACCTTTAACTGTGAAACACTTTTAAGCAAGCAGCTAATAAACATCTGAATATATGAGTGACCAAACTTGATTTAAATATATATACTACAATATATAAACATATACAATTTCTAACAAATGTCTGTAGTGGTGCATGCATTTATATACTCTCTTTACAATGTGTTCTACCAGTCGAGGCTTTTATGTGCTTTGAATAAATTAGACCTGTATTAGTGCCACGAGTTTACCAGTCCTGCTGTAAAGAGAAAGAACTGTGGTTTACCTTTGGAAGAGAAGCTCTAGAGCCCGAGCTTTGGGTGGTCATGGTTAGCACAGTGGTGATGCCCAGTGCCACTCTGGCAGGAGCAGCATCCATATTGATCCAAAAAGACACCCATGAGAGGATGACAATCAGGAGGGAAGGAATGTACATCTGGATCAGATAGTAGCCCATCTGGCGCTCGAGATGGAATTTAACTTCAATACAGGTGAATTTACCTGTTCAACAGCAAGGAACACAAACACACTTCAGTCACCGCACCGGGAGGAATGTTAGCTGCATGAAGTCTAAACAGCACTGGTGTGTGTGTGTGTGTGTGTGTGTCCGTGTCCTCTGACCAGTGTTGTAGTGTTTGGTACAGTAGCCGAGCTCCTTCTCTTCCCTCATGATGAACTGAGGCAGGGTGAGCCCCTCTGACACCTGCACTGCACCGTTCTCCAGCCACTCAAAGATCAAGTCATTCATGGTGTAGCCAACTAGAGACAGAAGAGAACATAAGATGAATCAAAACTGAGACACTCATTAAAAGCTCACTGAAGAAACTGCAGCGACAAAACCGTGACAAAGTCAATCCTTACAACTTTCCAGCTGCATTGTACAAGTTTGCACATCCATCGGAAAGTTCTTCAGATCCATCGGGCAAGACAGAATGAGAGTCAACCTGTGATGTGAGACAAAGTCGTACAATAAGATACAGACTACACCAAGGAATACATGTTTGATTCTGACAGAAATATGCTTTAAAACTTGAGCTGCTGAGTCGACACATGGATTGAAAATAATTTGCTTGAAAAATGAAATTACAGTTGGTACACTTTTTTTTGTAATCTCAGTATTGTGCTTCTTTCTCCTGTGTGATAGCCTCTGACACATCATGTAGGATTCCCTTCAGCAGGTTCCTATCACACTTTCATTACTGCAACTTATTGTCTCTTTGATGCATTGTGGCCCACAGTCTGTTCACTCTGTCATTTTTCTCATGAATGGAGAGAGCGGCTAACCGCCTCTCATCTCTCGCGTTGACCCTCTCTGCCTCCACACCTGAGCTCCCCTGAGCCTTGAGCTGCTCTTTAAATGGACTCAGAATTGATCTGCTCTGTATCGTATCACTGCAGCGAAAATTGAATGCTGTGTGTGATTGAAGTTGTATTGAAATGAAATGAAACATATTTTCATATCTTATGCTGAATTTTGCTCAAGATTTGTGCTGATAAGACTTAAAAATGCCATCCATCCTGATCTGGTTGCATGTTTCACAGTTTTCGGCAGTGTCTATATGGATATGGATATGGATATGGAGACTAACAAATAGAAGGATTCCCTTTTTTTCCTTCGCTTTTGGTTCTATCTTTGCTTTGGATTCTCAACAATGCCCCTGAGATTCGCTTGCCCTCTTGCAATCAGTGTTCCTTTATTAAAAATCTACATTGCACATGGGGATGTACTGTAGTTCAGTGAATTATGCCATTTCAAAGGAGAGATCATAATGCGATAAAATCCATTTAGCACTATGCTTTAGATTGACAGACTTTGATGTTTGAGAGGAAATGTAAGAAAAGCAATAAGTGAACATGTCCAGGGGCGATCTATGCATCAGAGCTTTTGCTTCTCTGTAGTCTCATCTTTCACTCCACAGATTCCTACCTCCGCTACAGCACTGCAAGGCCCAGATGCTGTAAACTAGGGTTGCAACTAACAATTCTTTTCATTACCGACTGATAAACGGATCATTTTCTTGGTTAATAACTTGGTCTGGAGAACATCAGCACTGACAATTGCCCATCACAATTTCCCAGAGCCCATGGTGGCATCTTAAAATATCAGTTTTTGTGCAAAAAGATTTTCAGCTTACTATTATAGAAGAAAACTGGAAACATTGAAGCTAGAACCGGTGTCATTTTTAATGCTTTCGTTTACAACAACACGTTCAACACATAACCTGATACTGTAGAGGACAGTCCCATCCTTAAAAATCCTCAGCAGCTTGTTGTCTGTGGTGACATCATGGAAGTTTGCTCCTTTCTCATTGGCAAAGAAGAGGTCAGGCTTCCATATGGAGTCCAGCATGGACGGGTCCAGGTCGAGGGAGGAATCTGGGTATTTGCTATACGCCAGCCGAGGGTCATTCCACTTCTGCCGCAGGAAGATGTTCACTCTGTAATCCTGCAGAGATGACAAGCAGCTTTGCATATTTTGTAGTGTGGTGATTGGGGTAATGAGAAAGCATGCCGGCGATGGGGCATCAGTCATCGGTATCGTTTTTTTTTAATGTCATATAACTGTCGTTTTGATAAGGTGAATAGGAAAATTGCATTGGTCAACCTACATCTGCATGATTACTCTAATACAGTAAAATACATCCATTATAAAATAATGATAATAAATTAATAGAACAAGCAAGCAACTATACCAATTCTTAAAATGTCAAAAACCTATTGTTCACATGTTTTCTCGAGTGGTAGAATGTAACTAAGTACAAGTGTATTTGTACTTGAGTATTTCCATTTAACACTACTTAATATTTGTACTTCTCTGCATTACTGAAAGTAATATTCTACTTTTCCATCAACTACATTCATTTGACAGCTATTACTTTGTTACTTTGTAGATTAAGGTTTTACATAGAAAACATGATTATCTTAAAAAAATATAGATTGAACAGTGTGTAAAGTTGTTAAAATTATCTCCACTTGTAGTTTACACATGAATGCATATATAATATTATTACATTAATATAGTACACACAATAATATAATGCTCTGGAAGGGGCCATTCTGTATTACGTAATCTTTTGATACTTGATGTACATTTTACAGCTAATTCTTTCACTTAAGGAAAAGCTTTCAATTCTCCCTCCACCACAGATTGAAAAACATTTCAATATTAATGTAATATTAATGAGAACATATGAAATAAAATGGATAATGAGCAAAAAATGATTTCCATTGCACACCACACAAAATCTATATCATCAGTATAGCGACACTATCATCTACATGCCTATGTAATTTTAAATTTCATATATACATTTGCAAAACACTGACCTTATAATACTGTTCTTATTAATCATTATTATCTAAGTGCCATTATGGAAGCTAAACGGTGCATTTGTCAGATGTAGTAGCTGATGAGGAAAACTCTAACAGTGTAGTTAGTCGTAGATTGAATGTCACAAAGCTCAGTTGCTCAGAGTAATTGACATGTCATGATGATGAGAAGCCCTTATGTTGTTTGACATTTCATCAGCATATTGGCGGTTCCAAATATTTGCCTGCGTGTCTAAAGCCGTGTAATGCCCTGGCAATCTTATGAGCTCCAGCTCCTGTGCAAATTAACATCATCCATTCATGATCTAAACAGTTATTATCAGTCATTATGGATCCTTTGATCAGGATTGGTTTCTGTGCAGCTTCGCAGGTTTTATGTTTGTACCCGAGATGCTTTCACACATTGCATATCTACATCATACATACCCCTTATCATGCCGTATGTCGATGTAGATGAGCTTCTGTTTGAAAGCCCAGCCCCTCCACCCCCACTCACAGTTACCAGCTGTACTTGAAGTGACTTTTAGTTGTTCTATGAATTATTAAACCTGGACTAACACGTGTAAAGAGGAGATTAACTAGCAGATTTAGAAAGATTTGTGATGTCTGTGCGTGTCATGGACCCGCCAATAGACTCTTTGATGGCAAAAAAACAAGTATTTTTATGAATAGGAAGACATAGCATGGATAGATGTTTAAAAAAAAAAAAGAAAGAAATTGTTTAGGTTGGGTAAAAAAAAAACAAACAGGATGATTCAATCTGAACTCCAGAGCAGGGATCAGGGCTTTAGAACATTTCCAAGCACAACGCTCAACTCACCATTGTAGTTTCTGCTATAGAACCAAAGCTGTTGATAAATATGTTGCAGGTAACATTAACTGGTGGACCTGCAGGTTGAGGGATAGATAACACATTGACACATTGTACAGGGCAGAAAGCAGCCAAAATGCCAGAGGAACTCACCATGGTTGTCTCTGTGACAGAGCCGAAACTGTTGATAAAAATATTGCATGTAACGTTTACAGGGGGACCTGTGAAATGGAATGACAATGAAATGACAGGAAAAAGCCTTAAACCATATCTTCATGGACGACTGGGTTTGAAGCAGTGAAGATCTTTCAACAAGAAATTCGGGGTCCGTTGGTTTACAAGCTGTTGTTGCACTGTGTATGTCAATGTGCATTAACACCAACAAGCAGCTCTGTTTTTATCTTTATCATTATCATTATTATTATTATTATTATTTAATGGGAGCTTCAGGAGTGGATGATGACATGTCGCATGCTTTGTTAAACCAGAGGCAAAAGATCACATACATGGAGAGGATCCATGTTTGGTTTTAGTGACTGAACTTATGTTTTCAGATTCTGCTGAGTGTTTTTTCAATGCAGTTATATTCAAACTGATTATTTAACAATCAGTAACAATATCATACTATATCAGCTTGTTACAGTCTTTAAACTCAAGTGATGTGATCTCTTGTATGGTGATCTTTTGTGGTCAACATTCTGTAAACACATCTTTTCTACATCCTGTCCTTACAAATTCAGCAGAGGATACATGCACACACACACACATGCACACACAAACAGTAATGTAGAGCTGCAACAATTAGCTGAATAATCCGTTAGTCGATTACTGGCAACTCTTTTTATGGCTAATTAATCATTTAAGTATTTTTTTTTGTTTTTATTTTTAAACAAAAATGCCAAAAAGTCACTGGTTCCAGTTTCTTAAATGTGGATATTTTTCTGAATTGTTTTATCTTCTGTAATATTAAACTAGCTATCTTTGGTTTTGTGGACTGTCAGTCAGAAAAAAAAGCAGTTTGAATATGTCAATTTCTTTAGTATCTTAAATGAACTGAAAATGAAAATAATCATCAGTTGCAACCCTACAGTCGTGTATTAGCTCTGATATAAAACCAGAGCATCATCTACCCAACACTGTGAGTAAAAAGAAACCAGCATGCTCTAATGAGTAGTGTCATTTTTACTCCAGAGTGGCCTGAACTGAAATCTGTTTTGCGAGGCTTGCCAGGTTATGCCATCTAAAGTCACTGCAAATCTTTTCTCTCCATCTGATAAGTGAAGTTGTAAGCCCTTCCCATTGCCCTTCCCCTGTGCGTTCTTCATCAATATTGCATGGCACTTGGTATTAATATTTGCCTCAGTTTGTCGTCAGGTGGCTACATTTAACAGCAGAAGCAGAAAAATAAAGCGGTGCCTCCTCACAACAAACTCAGCAATGAAATCTAGGTCAGCCTTCAGAAATACAGTTCAACGCTCCCTTCAAAGTATGACTAGCAGGTTCGCTACAGAAATCATCTGTTTACATCGCAGTGGGTTCATGCAAAAGTGTTTGTTTTCTAGCGATAAGGTGCTAGATTGTGTATGAGACAGGGAGCTTTATTTATCTCTAAATACAGAGAGAATCTGAACGCAACCAGCAGCATTCAAATCAGGCTTTATGTCTTTTAATCCATGTGTGCTTATCCTCTCTTTATTAGCTGGAAACAGTCGCTTACATTTCACCCATCCCCTCAAAATGCCAGCCGGAGTTAAAGAGACTGTCCTCCTCTCATCTCAAGTTCATTTCAGCAATCTTGTCAACATTTTCCCTTCACTCCCAGATGGAGAGGAAGTATCTGGGCCATGTATTTCTGAATCCTGCTAATCAATCCCCCGTGCCGTATACTGTCTATACTGGAATCCCCCAAACTGCCCGACAAATCCCAGCCCACCTGACCCAGACTGCAGTGGGTCTGAGCCCCAGCAGTCCAGCCTCTGCCTCCCCTCACTCAACTCTGTTCCAGTGACAGATGCTGTGTCTCTCTCCAGCATCACAGTAACAACAACAGAGGAAGTCAGTAGCCTGCAGCCTTGCCACAGGGGCACCATCCATCATTTGGCCTGTCATGGTGGCATCCCCGTCTGCTCCCAGTACCAGTCTGAGACTGGTCCTTTACAAGGACCCCCCACGCCCCCCTCTTCCCGTTTCTAAATTATTATTTAATGGAGATATGGATTCTATTGCACATTATTTCACCAAATGAAAACAAGTGTGCAATGTTATGATGAGGGGTTAGTTCATGATTTAATTCAAGGCAGGACAGTCACTCCACTGTCAGCTGGAGTGATTGATTGTTCTTATCAAAGGAATGGCAGCACAGTACCTTCTAAACAGATAACAGCCAGTGGATCTCCAGATAAGTAATAGTCAGACTCTGCTGTGTTTACAGTTACACTTAAGGGAGATGGACCTACTCTACATGCAGAAACACTCCATGTGCATTATTGACAAAAGGTGGTAGTTGTGTGTGGGTTATTTGGGAAGGGGGGGACAAGGCAAGACTCAAGTGTGTGAGGTGAAGTGTGTGAAGATTTCCAAAAGACGAAGATGATGATAAACACACCTTTAAAATTCGGTCTTATTCGTGCATCATACCCGGACGTGCGACCCATGAGTGAGTCCAGAAAGTCTGATGGAGACAGGTTGGAGGATGATCTGGAATCGTGCTCCTTGGCATCCACAACTCTGGAACACACACACACACACACACACACACACACACAGCCACACAGCGTGAGGAAAAATCACTTGTTCAGACAGAAGTCAGATCTCAAAACCGGGCGTTAAACCTTATCTGTCGCCAAGCAGCTGCCGGGGAGTGATGGACACACACATGGAAACTAGAAAATGCGTTAAAGCGCACACACGTATCAGATTAATCTTATTTGATTTCGACGTCTCGGGCATTTCCTTTAACATCATGCAAGACTACTACACAGACGCTACAGCATGCTGTCATTTATAATAGAAGCATTACAGGAATATAGTTGTGATGCCGCAGGATAATAGAAAATAATACCATTACGTGCGTAAATGTCACTATAAAGTCATCGCATTAAAAGAAAGAAATCCTTATTGGGTTATTATACGCTTTAAGAATATTTTAGGGTGCGAATGGAGCTCACAACAATAATTCAAACTGTTGAAAATAAACAGTAACTTTAGTCAATCCAAATCAAAGCAACACTCAAGCAATTACCAACTTAGTCTGTGAAGAAAAAAGTCGCCACCCGTTTTATATTGTTTCTTTATGTAAGCCATCAAATACTTGAATGAATGATCTCATTTTCCAGACTTCAGAAAGAAGAAATAATTAGTTTTAAATCACTATGTCTAGTAAATAGATCCCCTTACCTAAAGTTGCTCGTCTCCATGAAATATGTAAGTAAAGCTACCAAAACCTTAATGAAGGAGCGATTCATTCCTGGTGGTTTCCCCATGTGCTCACTTTTCTATTTCTTCCATATGTTTACATTGGTCAAACACATAATCCAAATTGGGATGCTGCTTTCTTCCTGAGCAAGTCGCGAGCGTTTGGGTGTTCTTGTGTCACACAAAAATACAGGAGACATTCCTCAACGCAGCCACACAGCATGGTTTAGTTTCATTCAAACTCTGACTCCCAGAAACAGATTTCTCGAGGCGGAGGTGTGAAGGAACATCAGTCCTGTGGCCAAACGTCGAGAGGGTGAAACTCCAAAACGCATCCCACCACCCCCCCCTCACCTCCTTGGAAGCTTTGGCGTTGACTCGCTCTGTGAAGACAACCTTTCCCACCCCCCCCGTTGGCCCGTGTTGTTACTTATGAAGTGAAATATTTCGCAGGTGGAGGAAGCGTCTTCTGTTGAGGAATGGGAGAGGAACGCCTTTTCTCATTTCAGCACTTGGACAGCTCCCGGCTCCGTTACGCGCAAGCGCAAGGCTTAAAAGTGGTGGACGTGAGTTGGTTCTCAATAAGTCCAATAAACGAGAGAGGTAATTTGCAGAAACACATTCAAACATCCTGTTACATAACAATAGATGTCTCTTTTAAATATTAGAGCTTTTGTCTCACGAGATCGCCCTGATCGTGAAACTCCCAGTGCGCGCAGCGAGGCGTCAGGATCAACTGGCTTTAGGAAGTGTGTATGTTTTCCAGTGGTGTAATTAAGAACATGAACTGATATCGGTAATGTCACGGTGTAATATTAATCTATACCCTCCAGTTGAAATAAGCCTATGACTTAACATTCCTCCTAATTTTGCATTTTGCTGAAATCAGAAAAAAACAGACGGACGCTGATTGACTGGTTTCTCTGACATCATCCTAGGCTGTAATTTTACGCAATATGCTTTTTTTGTGCGTGTGTGCCCCCATCCTTGTCTGTTTGGAGCTACCTACATCCTCACAGAGATATGAAAAGTGTAAACAAAGGACGCACCAGCGAGAAGCCGCTGGGAGAGTATTTGGTACCCTGGTTGCCCTGGAAACAGATTTCCGAGGCACATCATTGGAAATGCTGAAAGGTTGGCCTCCCAGAGCGAGACAGAAGAGAACTGACAGACAGACAGTCAGAGACACAGACAGAGACAGCAGGAAATAATGGTCCCTAGGGGTGGAGGGGGTAGAGGTTTAGTAGGCCACCACGCAGATCTAGTAATTATTATTCAATATAAATGTATACAAGCTCCTTGTATTGATACAGAGGCTGGATGTGAACCTGGCAGTGTGAGGATGTGAGTGGGCTGTGAGGCTTCACGACCACAGGCATGAATGACTCATTCCACATGAATACACAGGCATGTGCTGTGGAAGAACCAGCTAAACTTAGTGAGAGGGTGGAAAAAAATAAAAAAAAGTATTTCATTCACATCAAGTGAACCACGGGCATCAGTGTTGCGAGATTACTCCCAGTGCATCACATGCCTGAGTGCTGTGACATGCTCGGGGCCATATTACACTTTGGTCTGACACTTGGTTTTTACTGACCAGTCTCCAGATGATCTCGGCCTGTCTCAGCCCGAGGACGAGTCATAGTGTCTTCCTCCTTTAATGCTGAGGTCCAAATTACAAGTGTCACATTGAATCTCATGCTTTGGGAAATGTATGGCTTGCCCTGGTCTGGGGATTTAATATTTTGCCATCGGAGGTCTTGTGCACGGCGTGTTCTGCAGCAAGTTCAACCGGCATGAATACTGGATGTCCTGTATGAATTATTTACCAACAGGCACATGTACTGTATGTCCATGTTTTCTTTTTTGATTAACAAAGGGAAACAAACAAAGTCAGTTTTTGTCTCCCATGATGAGCAGATTCACTGTTACGTGCATGACTCAAATGTCACTGTGTCTGATCCAAGTCAAAAATAACAGCTATAAAACCCGAAGTCTCTTTAATGATTACATTTCCTACTGGTAAGGGCCAAAAATTCTCTTTGCACTCAAGTCATTTATTACCCATCTCCGAGACAGCTGTGGTTGGCTTGTCTGTGTAATGACAACCAACCACAGCTTCAATTGGCCATTAGTTTCCATAAGGAAAGTCTTTGGGCCAGGTGGGTCACATAATTAAAGGAGAACAAGTCAAATCCGTGTGTCATTAAGAGGCGAGAGGGATGTAGTGTACCTCTCCGTCTGTGAAAGGGGAGAATAAAACAGAACAATTCTTAAGACATGGACTGTCTGTCTGTCTCATTTATCCAGCAGATTCCACACAGCCATTAAAATCACAAGCTCAAGACAGGCAAAGGCGCTATTTTAAAGCTGCCCACACACAACAAAGATTGGTCGCTGCTGCCTGGTACTCTGTGGGGAATTATGGGTTTTACATCATCTGGTTTATTGTGTTGTCTAAAGGGATTTTCAGCACAATTTATAACTTTGAAATGAAATCAGAAGGTTTCCTTTTTTTTTTTGGTAATCTCTCTGTTCTAATACAACATCCTAAAATAACATACACATCAATTGAACATGCTGTGATCTTTGCATCTGTATTTGTACACAGAACTGTTTTTTTTTCTTCTTCTTCTTCTTTTCTTTTTTAAAAGAAGAATAAAGTGGAAGCAGTAACCAGCTTGAAGCTCCGTGTAGTCCGGGTAGCCTGTTGTAATTGATCCCCCTCAATAACTGAAGAGTTGTAGACCGACTGGAGAGCTCACCTGGAAACAACAAGCAAGGCTTTACCACCCTGATGCTCATGTGCACTGGACTGGAGACAATTGAGAGCTGCAGAGTATCCATTGCTCCATCGATTTCTTGTATCTTTATCCCACTTAATGACTTTTTCGGTCTATAATTCAACTCATGGAGCTGATCCCGGGCCTAGCAGGAGATAGCAGAGAAGCAACTTGTGGTGGGAGCTATTTTGATGAGGAGGAAGATGCCGGAGGAAGAATGCAAAGGATTTAATGAGTGGATTCTTGAAGAGGAGCAAGGATTTGAGAATTCTCTAGTGCCTCAACACCCAGCACAATTATCATAAGCTCTCTGTCATAGCAAAAATGAAGCTATTTTGAGGCTCCTATGTGGCACACAAGAGAATGATAACCATGTTTAGATAATGCACACATCCTGGCTTCAGCACAAGCACATGGACAAATGGTGAACATACTCTTCTCTATAGAGTCATGTGGACCACATAGGTTCAACCATGAACAGCCTCAATGCTCCACTCTTTAGGTCACTTTATCCCTCCGGCCGAGTGAAGAGAGCAGCCGTGGTCTTCACTAAGACTCATCTGTCAATCACAGCTTTCCTTCATCAGTGGGAGCGCACTGACAGCCACAGAGCCTTTCTCCATCACTGAGCACTGAAAAAACCCGCTGATCCCCAGTCTAGACCCCCATACACGCTCCACACTCACCCTGTCTCTGCACATTCAATCAGCCGAATGAAACGCCACAGCACATTTGCAGGGTGTGTACAACCTATCGAACATTAATGACTGTGTTCAGTTTGTTAAGCAATTACACTTCCTCAAGTGAATCCGTCACATTTTCCATCCAAGATCTGCATGTTCGGGACCCCTTCTCCCCTGAGCTCCGGTTTTCTTGTGCAGTCACCCAGGCCCTAAACAGCACACATACACATGCTGTTCCCTGGCCAGTGTCTGCTCCGTGTTGACACTGGCTCACAATTTATCTATTTCTAGCTCGCAGGCTTGTCTCACTGTGCGTTGTCACTGGAGTTGCGCAGCTGTCAAAGTGATGCAAGAACAGATTGAAGACTGGATGCAATTTCAATTGCTTAACTGGTTTACATCGGTTTCTTAGATGTATGTTATGGGACCAATTATGCACGAGAGGGACACTGAGAGAGCAGCAGGGCTTATTCTCTGTCTTTTTTTCTTTTTTTTTCAGATATTTATGGGGAAACTGAGCTTGTGTTGAATATTAATGCGTGTTGATATTCCAGGTTAATGTGGTGGGGAAAAATTCCTGTGGCAGGGAATAACATAGCTGGTTGCAGCATCTCACCAAGTCTGTCAGAAGAAGCAAGGAGCGTTATGATTGTTGTCATATAGTGGAGTATATATGTGCAGATGTACAGTTAAAAGGCTCACGGTTAGAATACAAGACATGATGTGCTTGCACAAACATGACTTCACAAAAGTGATTAGCATGCAGCCTGTCAAATGGAGGAATGCATTAAAGATGACTGACTGTCACACCGCAAATGAATCCAGTTCTATAGAAGTGAGCAGCGGACTGTACCAGGGAGGGTTGTTTTCTGTCCCAGTGGTCTGTCCTTGTCCCTGCTGTGTGTTTTCCTGAGGTAAAAGAAGAAAAGGATCGCTGGCATCCCACAGAAACAGTATCTTCTTTGACTAGACACTTGCCATGTCTCTTCGCCAACTCTTCATGTCTGTCTTGCTTTAAATTATCAGAAAAGTGTATGGCAGGTTTACTTTATCCACAGCTGTGCCACGACCACGTACACCTTGAAGTTTTCTGTCAGAACTGAAATCGTTCATTCATCATGTTTCTGTCATGTCTGTTGTTTTCCCTGGAGTTGGCGGTTTTTCAGAGTTCAGCTGTAGTGTTTCTCATTAACCATTCTCTATGTTATTTATAGGGATCTGTGCGTTAATGTGATTAATGCTCACATTTTATGCCTCAGACCTTAAATGCTGATCAGTACATGAAATGCATCAGGGGCTGAACTGCCTGCCTGTCTTGAATGTAATGTTAAAAAATTCACAGATGAAACAAGATTTCCAAGGTACCACAATAAAAAAAAATACTTGAGCAGATGGCGTTATTTGTGTAACGCTCAGTGATGTTCAGTTTGTTTGGAAACATACAGAGCCACACTGACTGATGTACCATATTCAGATATGCCACTATTGATCTTTGTGTTGAGCTCATTGCACCATCCACCTCCAGTATGTCTTCATTCTCCTCCTTCAAGACCGTGTGCTTCATGAAAAGTTTACATTGCCTTGCAGAACGTTTAAACATCA